CCCGCTCAGATCCAGCCTGCGCCCTATGCGTTTCCACATCCAGCAATGGAGGAGACGCCTTCGCTTACTTTCGACGTCACGTCACCGAGCACGATCCACCGAAAACACGCCGACGACCTCTATACTACCGGGGGACCAAGGAAGGAGGGGCCACCAAGGCTGCAGCGACCTGAGTTACACGCCGAGCTCCCCTCCACTACCACCACCTCTTCACGTACGACACGATCACCCGGAAGAACACCCGCGAGCTCGCCTCCCAGAACACGCCAGGTCCTACGGGAAGACGGGGACACGACCTACCGGCAGCACCCCGGAACTACAACCAGATCAGCAGGACAGTCAGCTCAACCAACAGGGGTGGCAGGACGGAAAGGGCCTCCCACACCAAAGCCGGGCCCCCCTCGACTTCGAGCCACCCAACCGTGAACCTTTATCTCCGGCAAGTACGGGGACTCGAAGCGTCGCTCCCCTCCACACCCCAGACACACGAGCAGAGAAGAAGCACCAGGGCAAGAAGAAGAAGAAGAGCGGGACGAGACGAAAGACCGAAAAACAGACCGACACCAGGAGCACCGCTGCACCAACGCCACCACAGACCCTGCAAGCCCTGCCCATCCGTCTGTTACAACCAACACAAGGACAGGAGTTCTACAGACTTTCCCCTTTGGAAGCAGCTAGGGCCGTTCCGACGGCCGGGACAGCCCCTGCCTGACCCCACTTCGAGCCTGCTGAGCTTTACGTGACGACCCAGACCGAGCACAACAACCACGCCTACTTCCAGGAAGCGGCACAACGGAACCTGGAGCCCACGATCAACGAGACGCACACCCTCTCCGCGCCCTCCCGGACGACCCAGGAAGGTACACAACAACGACGCCTACTACCAGATCGCCTCAGAGGGAGCCGACTGCCAAGCTATGGGTGGCCCAACTTGTCCCACCGGAAGGAGACGGGCTGCAACCACCGGGACTTCATCCAGAACAGGATGTCTTCAAAGAAGCAACATCCCGACCGACGAGCAGACGAAGACCCATGACCGCACTCAAGAAGAAGATGAAGAACCAGACTGGAACCACGACAGCCAAGACGAAGGCTCCGAGTCTCCACCCGGGGGGGCTCTACCGTCCAGTTCAGGAGGGACACAGCGACCAGCAGAGCACCACCACCAGGAGCACAACGACCAGCAGAGCCAGCTGGCCCGCCACCTTCAAGGAGGCCAACACACGGCGACCTGCCGCGCTGTCCGAAGAGGCCCGCGTAAACCGCCAAGACAGAGCTGACTGGCGAGAACGCTGCCGACAGCGTCGGCGAATGGGGTTGGAGCCGGGGTACCTCTTCAACAAGGGCGTGGAGAGACGAAGGAAGCGACCGAGACCTGAGCAACTGGCACAATAAGAGCCAGCTTTCTGTGCACCACCAATAGCGGGGACACCAGTGCCCTGGTGTCGTTGTTCCCCACTTTCTGTACTCCGAACTCCGAACCCTGTGCTTCCTCACCCACGAACACCGGACCCCTCCACACCAACACCTCCCAGCACTGGCGCGGGGACCCGGCGTTTGTGACGTTCCTTTGTGTTCTCTTATGGAGTCTGTGCCTTGCCCCTTCCTGCTTCCTGACACAAGGGACCCGCACCGACACAGCAATATGCCACAAACCCGTAGAGAAATGGTTGAATGCAGCCTTATGGCCAAACTAAGCTCCGGGATATGCACACTATGTGTCGTTTCCGCATCAAAGCCACCTCCACACCCGGCAATGACCGGGACTGCTGTTATCATTTTTCGCGGGGGCCTCAGGTAAGCTGGAGTTCTGGGGTGCTCTAGTGTATATAAGCCAGGTCGGGGACCTTTTGCCCCCCTCTCCGACAGCTACCTGAGTTCCTCCTGAGTGTCACCCCCAACAAACTGACGGACTTTGGCGTAACGCTCGTGCGAAGGGGGTTAGGAGCCACCCCCTAATCTCCACACGCCCTGCAAGCAAGCAAGCAAGCGAGAGAGCGAGAGAGAGAGACCAGTGCAATGCATATCCCTGATCTAGCGACGTGTTGGCCGGAACCCGAATGTGTCAGAGCTGTACACGTCTTGCTGTGCTCTTACGTGCCCGGTGCTGCTGAAAGAGCACCTCCCTCTTTTCGTTGCTCGATGGGTGGGGGGAGATTCTAAGTATTGCCTCATAGTTTGATGGCGAAGGGACAAGGCGCACCTGGGAGCAAACTTGCTGCTACAGCCGAGCCCTCTTGGAGAAAATTACCCAAGAGGGAGGGAACCAGCCCGCCAATGAACCGTGGGTGTGCGTGCGCCCACGAGAAGGGTAGCCTGGAGTCAGAGAGAGAGAGAGAGAGAGCCATGTTTAAGCAGAGGGAAGCTGCTGCTCCTGAATCGACTGCAGTGCCTTCTCACCACGCGTGGGCCTGCCAGACGCAGGACTTACATGCACTACGCTACATAGCCCCCATGAGAGCATGGCATTCATCCCGCCGACTTTGCCTAGGCACCTGTTGTTGATGTGCATTGTAAGCCTGCAATCCTGCATAATTACTTGTTGCCGCAGATACTTTACAACAGCCACTCAGTTTTACAACCGGTGATGTGGCACGACAATGCAGCACTAGTAAAATCCAGTCCTTGTGCAGCTTGTTCGCCCTATGAGATGAACACTCTGGTTGATCTCGGGGGATACAGGTTCTGTTGTGGCTCCAATCTGTCCTACGTGTTGAGCGAAACATAACACATGTCCCTCACCAACTAGCGGGGAGCTCGAAATGGTACGTAGTAGTGGTACATAGTTCATGTGATTCTCCCATCCACAGTATGCTCATTTAATGTGCAGCGGGGGCCTCAAAGTAAAAGGGACCGTCCCGGACTCACACTTTCAGTGCAAGCCTGTCGTTGGGTCGACGGCCCATGTTGAATGGCCTGCCCCTGGTCTCCATGAGTGACAGATGTGTTCTGTGTATGGGTGGGGGAAATTTAAATGTGGCACGTGAGGTACACATGATAGATTGATTGGGTCGAAAATCCAACCCCAACCGACTGCCTTGACTCCGTACTAACAGCACGTAAGCAGCGGGCGGGCTTAAAACCCGGGGGGCTCAACTCACCCCCTGAGCCTGGGAGAAGAAGAGAGAGGACACACCTTCATGCGCATCTCTTCGCACACTTTACGAGTCCTTTCTCTTGAGCTTCGCAGTTGTTGTACGTCTCCCCACAAGGCCATTCAACCGGGGTGAGCCTTTCGGCTGAGGAGACCTCGACAGTCCCCTGTGCCCCGGAGAACGGAACAGAGCAAAGAGAAAGAGAGAGATCCGCTCACTGTCTCTCCCTGCCTCAGGCGTGGCAGCTCTGAGCCTTGTAGTCAGCAGCTCAGGCGAGTAGCTAGGCATCCACAGAGCCCTTGTGCTTTGCTCGGATTTTGCCAGACGGTGGCACCTGTTGCCGGCATTGGCGACCTGATCGAGTTCAGGTCCTCATCGTTTCAGCGATTGGTATGACGCGCTGCACCTGCATCTCGGCGGAAAGGTACAGTCACGTATATGAGACACTTCTACAGTGCCTTGACGCTTAGTGCCGCATGGACCAGGTGACTGCTGTACCTGCCTGACGCTGTGTTCCTGCATGAGGTTTGGGGAGGGCGGGGAAGTGTTGCAAGCTTACTCCCTCCAACTGCAGGAGAGCGAACCGGAGCGATAGCGACCTGCAGCTGGGATGCGTAATGCTGGCCCAAGCAATTTGCCGCTTTCTGAAGCGAGCTGAGGTACTTCTGCGCACTCTCCGAACTTCAGCTAGTGACTCAGTTTCGCGTCGTTGGGAGTTTGATGGAGTGTTGGCGGCTACCTGGCAGTTTGAGAACCTGAAATCAGTAAGCGGTGGTCAGCGGAGCTCAGGAAGCGAGGTGCAACTTTCGACGTGCTTCCGGACGGCAGCAGTCGACTTCATGTTCCGCCTGTGCAGGAGCCAGGGCCTTGCATGTACGACGCCACAAGCACTGAGTCTCAATATCAAGTATCTATGTCTGGCCAATATTCAGCTATATAGCGCTCTTTGCTTGTAACACCCTGCATTATGAAGCTTAAGCTCCAGATCAAGACGTTTTGCCATATCGGTCCTTTTGACTTTGGATGTCAGAGTTGGGCTCAATCCTCAGGTATGTTCTTTGCAGCACCATGTGATCCCAGCGGATCGGCTGCTGACCTGGAGCTCTCGCATTTAGCTTTCTGTAGCACCGACGTTCTTGTGCTGGCAAAGCTCAGCTATCGGTGTAGGGTGTAGAACGTAGGTCGTAGGTATCGTCATGCCGAGCACCGCAAAGACCCGAGCCTTCATATTACAACGGAACTCTTGGTTTTGTGACATGGCTTGCAGAAGCTTCTCCCGAGCCATCACCATGGCACATCCTCTCGCACCCGAGCATGGCATAGAGGTTTGATTTTCCTGGTACGAGCGGCCCTGCCCGGCTGGCTCTGCCAATTCCGATCACGTTGGGCGACGCAGCCCACGAAGTCTACAAAGATTTCTTAGGGGTGGGTGTGTGTGTGTGTGTGCGCCGGTTGTACAGAGTTCGTTCTGTGGGTTGGCGAGTCCTCAGGGCATGCGTCCTTTGCATTTGAACCATTCTATATTATACGGTGCATGCCATGCAAGGTTGATGTGGATCCTATAACGAGCCAGCGGACATACCGAGAGCAATTGCGATGGGAGCATTCAGGGCCTCTTCCTTTCCCCAGCAGGCTTTAGGCAGGATCCAGATCACCGCGTTAACAGGGCAGTGTGACTCGCTGCCTTGCAAGAGAAGTTTTCTGTGCGACGCTCGTTGCCGTCCTGGCAGCTATCGGGCTGGTTCCAGTCGCACGTGAGTCGCACGTGAGCGATGCCTCCTGTCCGAGGGAAATGTCAAGGGACAGGTGCTACTGCACATCGTTGAATCTCGTACCTGTTGTATGCTCCAGTGTATGCTGGGTGCTTCAGCTGCAATGCTCTGCGCTTGCTGACCTGTGCCCAAGGAAAAGTACCAATACCTGGCACCCGCCACTGTCGCCTTCTTGTGGCAGTTCGGCTCTCAGCACCATCGCGGAGCCAGAGGTCTTCTCTTGTGCTTGGTGCAGGTTTCCTCCGAGCTTCGTCTACAGTGACGAGCTGTACCAAAGGCCTTTACTTAAATTTAAACCGTCTAGCGTCGCTTCACGAAGCCACTGACAAGGTTTGAGAGGCTCGTGGAATTCCTGAGCCAGGAGAGCAGCGGCGTAGCGAAGGCACGGGAGCTCAAAAAACAGCCTCAAGCCTCCTCCTCGAAAGACTCTTGGCGAGGCCCGCCATATCGTGGACTTTCGTGACGGCAGCTGGTACCGTCAGGACGTCTACGACTTCCTGAGGTCTCTGCTCCGGGGTTGACGCGTCGGGCCCATCGCAGGGTTTCGCGCAGTTTGTCAGAGTGGCCCTTGGAGAAATTATATGCGAGTGTACTCATCGAGGATGGGTTGTGAGGTGCTGCATAGGACATGTAAACCTCCGGCATCCAAGCGTAGAAAGCGTGCTGCTTGTAGGCATTCCCTGTACCGGTAGGGCGATCCCGATTTGCCGCCACTTGGAAGAACTGCCGGCAGGGAGAAGCGGTGGTGCCTCGCTTGGTTGCACCTGAACAACGCGACTCTCGCCAGCATCGGTTGAACGCAGGTTTTACTCTTGATGGCTTCGTTCCCTGGGCTTGGGATGATGCTTAGTGGTTGAGTGCTCGTCGGATCTTGTTTGGCGGTAAACTTCGGTAAGCTGCAGTGACCGTAGTTAGAGACCTGCTGGATCAAATGTGCAAACCAGCAAGATTTTTCGCGCAGGCTCTGGCATTACCATGTTAGCATACTCTTCTGCATCCGCATGCGGCATGACTATTTTTTGCATCGGTAAGTCCTTCAAAATGAGAAGTTCGGACATGGGCCCCAGCTGAGGACGGGATGGGCTTCGAATCTGCCACAGCCTTGGAATTTCATATAATTTCATAGAAGGGAGGATGATGTGCATTCAAGTTCGGTTCCTTTGTGGTGGCTTCTTGGTAACACTTGCGGGTCGCTCATGATGATGATGATGATGATGATCGCGGTGATGACGACGGTAATTCCGATGACGATGATGGCGATGACGACTGATGACGACTGATGAGTAAGAGTTTGAAGGCCCAGTGGCTGGACTGACCGCGTCCAGACCACGAACTTCTGCTTCTGCCGGCTCTTTGGACCGGACGGTGCTTGCCTCGGAGTTGGAGAGGGGGAGGGTTTCTGATTGAAGCCGTTTTTCGGTTTTGTGAGGTGTTTCTGCCTAAAGCCTTTAGAGTTCGGGCTTCAGGGTTCAGAGACTGGGGCTTGGATTCTTGTTCACTATGGGGATCGAGTGGTAAGCGGCCGAGCCGAATGATGCAGGGTTATGCTTGCGTCCGAACTGTCCAGGGCAGACCCACGGAACTTACGACAACAAGTTCCTGCACGAGCCCGGGACTCAGCAAGATTCAGCAAGTCCTGTCCGTCATGCGTTGGGACTTCAGTGGCCAGGGTTTTGTAGATATCATTGCGCCATCACACAAGCTCGCAAGCTACCGTGTCCCTCGGAGCATGTAGGCACGAATTGAGGCGCAGAGACTGGTGGAGAAGATCTTCGACAAATCCGATGCGGCAGGATTTCCGAGCTGCTGACCCCACCTGGCGATGGGCATTCCTACCTTTCCGCGGGTGAGTACCGCTTGATCAACAGACGACTGTTGCAAAGGCTGTAATTCTTGCTGTCCGCGGGCTGTTGATTACAGCACTTTTGATGTTGAATGCTGGGCTTGCTGCGCTGGCCGCTGCGGGCCCAGGCACCACGACCTGCCTTCGGGTGGCAGGCTCCCGTCGCGTGCAGGACATGGACGTTGTTTCCAGACTGACACTTGCTATGTCTGGGAATGGCGCGGCCAGCTCGGCTTCGCTGTGCACGTGCACGATCACACGTTATGAAATGGTGAATCTTGCAGATTATGCCATTCGGGCAGGGCATTGTTGTGCCCGCCTGTGCTTTCTCCAACCTGCGATCTTGGTGCAGGCTGTGCAGGAACAACGTGCCTCATATGCAAGCCTGGGAGGAAGATCCTGTCGCATTGCGGGTGAGCTGTTCCTCAGCTAGCAGACAGGCCTTATGCCTTCATTGGATCTCTATTAGCTGTTCCTCAGCTAGCCACTAAATCTTTCCGGCCAAATCTCCGACACTTCGGCACATGCACGATTCCCGAGAGGAAGGAAGGTCTTGCTTCATTGCCGGGCAGCTGATCCACAACTGGTGCCCAAGCCCTGAGGAAGAGTTCGCACATTTGCCGAGTTGCTGTTCCCCATCTCCGGCTACCTCTTCGACATACGTCTTGTCAGATGCTGGAAAAAACCCCGCCACATTGCCTGGTAGCTGTTCCTCAGCTAGCAGGCAAACCCTTCTCAATTTCTGTGAGACCAAGATCCTGTCGCGTTGCCAGTAGTTGTTCCCCAGCTGGCAGCCCACCTCGCCGACACTGCACAATGCCTGCCGTTATTGGCAAGCTCTCCGACTCTTCTTCCGTTGCTGAGAGGACGATCCCATTGCCAGGCAGATGTTCCTGAGCTAGCAGGCAAGCCTTCCTGCTACGACATTTCCCCTGTCAGGTTCCTGAAAGGAAGACTGTGCGAAATTGCTGAGTTGCTGTTCCTCAACAAGCAGGCTATCGCGCGGGCTACTTCCCCGTCATTGCATTGCTGGCAAGATCCTGCCGGGTATTTGTTCCTCGGCCAGCAAGCCGTCTACCTCTCGGACATTCACCCGGTCAGATACTTAAGAGGAAGGCCCTGCTACATTGCCGGGTAGCTGTTCCGCAGCTACGAGGCAAGCTCTCCGGCCATCTTTGCGACACCACCCCGTAAAAGGGCATTGCTGGGTAGCTGCTTTTCCGCATCAGGCAAGCCCACCGGTTCCTGTTTGCAAAATTGCCTTCGTCAGATTCTTGAAAGCCCTGCCCTGCCAATTAGCTGTTCCTCAGCCAGCAGGCGAGCCGCCGGGCTACATTTCAGGTATTTACCTTGTCAAATTGCTTAAAGGAGAATCCTGTACCATTGCCGGGTAGCCGTTCCTCAGCTAGCCGGCAAACCCTCCAACTACGTGTCCGACATCTTCCCTTGTCACACCCTTGAAAATAAAGCTTGGCAGCGGAATAGCTGTTCTGCAGCTAGCAGGTCAGACCTTCGGCTACTTTTCCGACACTGCATTGCCGGCAAGCTGCTCTTCAGCCTGCCGGATCCTTGTGCAACGTTTCCTTTGTCAGATTCTTGAAAGGAGGCCCTTCCAATGAGCTGTTCCTCAGCGTAGCTACTTTGCCGATTTTTTTGACGGAGGATCCTGTTGCATTGCCGGGTAGCTGTTCCTCAGCTAGCAGGGCAAACCCTCGGGCTACTTGTCCCACAGTTTCCCTTGTCAGAGTTCTGACTGGAATGCGGGTCAGTGGTTCCTCAGCTAGCAGGCAAACCTTCCGGCAATTTTTCTGACACCTTCCTTTGTCAGATTCGGCAGCAGACGCGCTGCCAGTTCGCTCCGCACCGAGAGGGCTCGTTTCACATAGCGTTGAAGCAAAGCAGACCCTGTTTGTTTCACCTTCGTGTGCCACTGGCCGAGCACAACGCAGCGCTCGTGGAGAAAGACGTGGGAAGCAGTGAACCCCCGAATCGTTGGACAGGGTGAATTCTGGAACATTCCGAGCTTCGAAAAGTCCGCAGATTTCTTCCGGTTCAAACATGCTTACGAGGGAATGGACCACATGGATTTCCTCAAAGTGAAGGCGTACTTCGCTGGGCCCGCAAAGCAGGCTGTTAGTCTCAGCCTCGAAAGCTCGTAGCTCGTGGTACCTCCATAATTTGGCAAATTCCCCGGGAGTCTCACAGACGGACAAGGAGGGTACGACGGGGGAAAAGCACAGGACACCTAAGCCAGGGAAGGGGTTGTCCTGGCATCGTCACCCCTTCAAGATCTGAGGCTTTTTGACAGTTGTCGCATTCTTAGCTCCAGAGCTGGATACGCGTCAATTTGGTAGTTATCCAACTGGATCTTTCCAGGCCCACGGGGCACGACCACATACGTCCTGTTCGGCAACAAGGTGCGGAGACCGATGCCCCGAGCGGGCAACGATTCCCATTTTCGTTTATCAGATCTTATCAATGTATTTGCGTTTGCTTCGCTTGTGGGCTCGTCCACAAAGCTGACACGTCCAGAAAAACATTGAGGCATGATGATGACGATGATCATGCGATCATATATAAGCTACATCAAGCCCCAGGAGGCCGTTGCATACCGGAACGTAGGCCACAGGAGCTGCACCAAGCCACCACATCGCCTTTTCGAGACTTTTCCTTATGTTGTGCGGCCATGGCATCCTCTGGATTTGCGTCCGGGGATGGTGCTGTTGAGGCCCACTGCTTCTGTTAAGTGCTTGCTCAAGCAAAGCTTTGGTCCAAGGCTCCGCTCTTCAGTGTGACCGTGGAGGAAGTTTCGGCGTTCAGCCTCGTTGTGCTCGGTGTAAAAGTTACAAAGCAGTCAGTCGGGACCCGGAGGTTTTGCCCTCCTCTTGGTTCAGAAATATGTTTCCTCTGCATTTGGTTCAAACAAGAAGGCGCGCCGGGTCTTTTCGCCATGGGTCGCTACGGGAAAGAGCTTGGAGCTTTAGAGAAGGACTGCGACATGTGTTGTTTCCAACCTTCTTTTCGGCGAGAGATTTGTTGTTGCAACTGCAACTAAATAGGACCGTGACACGCGCTCGGTGCTTCGGGTGTGCTCTTTGATTCTCGATGTGCTGTTGTTGTGCCGACAGACTCGTTCCAGACAGGCGCTGCGCTGCTTTGAATCAATTGGGGCATGTTCGAAACTCCATGAAGCTCCATAAGAAGATTTAGATTGACCGGAGTAGCTGCCTCATCATTGATCGTCTGAGGACCCTGCAGGCAAGTATCTGGAGGAGGCAAGGCGGCAACGCAAGGAGATTCGGTTGCAGTTAAAAGCAGCTTCTGTGCTCTGCTGGTCCCTTTCGCCAGTCTTCTTGTTGCAGCCAGTTCGGGAAGCTTCTCCAGGAGCGTCTGGGCTGGACCGCTTCTACCGTTAGGGTGCACGAGGCCGACGGAACTTGGCCATCTGCCGAGCCTCGCCCCACATGAAGGAACTAGTAACTAGTGTAAACTAAGTAGAAACCTGAAGCTCTGCTGGAGAATCCAGGATCTGCCTGATGGTGCGAGCGAAGAGGTGGTGACACAACTCCTGGAGGGGCTCACTGTGGGCTCTCGGATTTCCTTTCGAGGCCTTGGGAAGGCCCGGGGAGGGACGAAAGAAGATTCAGGATTCCTCCATGGATTCGGATGCGAAGTTGCAAGCCTGAGGAAGACAGGGCCTTGGTGCACTCCCTGGCCCATCGCCTTCCCGGCCTCTCGAAGTCCTCCCGTGCCGATCCAGATGCAGAAGGACAGCGAATGGTCTGCGTGGAGCGTGTGATGCCCGCGGCAGCCATGCCGGCAGCAGAAGCTGCCAAGTCAGAGCCAGATGCCGATCCTGTTTTGCCTCGGCGATCGCGCTGGCGACGTGCAGCCGGTGTCACCGAGGCGTGGATCCCTCCTGCGTTGTCTGTCGCCCACCGAGCCTTGCAGGGCTCTGCTCCGGCCCAGCCTTCTGCCGACGTGTTGCCTGCCACTGGATACCCGCTCCTGCAGGACTTGGGCTCGTGGGCCAAGGGATAGGAAACGGACGATACGTCAAGAAGCGTAGAAACCTCATGGCCCAGGAGCGCACTCCCGCACCGTCGGCCATGCCCGTCCCCACCCCGAGCAGACCAGCAGGATTGAACTCAGCGTTTTCCAAGGCCTGGGACCAGCGGTTTGCTTCAAGTTGAGTTGGGTTCCATCGTGTCCGCAGTTCCTGCCGTGGGTCCAGGTGAAAAGTCTTGGCATCGTCTGGCTGCGGGACGATATGCGCCTTGAGGACACTTCGCAAGACACGTTTGAGATAGTTTTGGGGATCAGGCATCCGGGTACAGGCGTGGGATCACTAAACCTGAAAACCCTGCTAAGATCTTTTCGAAGCTTCCAACGATGAGCATTCGAACCGTGATTCTTGTGCGACAAACTGCACAAAGAAGATATGCTCTTCTTGGCTGCCGCGTAAGGGCGGAAGGCTGTACCGACAGAGCAGCGCCGCCCAAGCCGACCATTGGACAGATCTGGCAAATCTTTGCCGGCGGTGCGGAATGATCCTTGCCATTGCTACTAAGTTGGCAGGGTTAAGCTGTTACTCCAGGACAATCCGGCCTTGTTCTACGCGGCGCAGGGCGGATTCGACGCTGTGCTCCCCCTCTTCATCTTGGAGCCTGACACCTGTCATCCGCTACGAGGTGCCGGCCGTTTCTGGAGCCTTGCTTGTAAGACATCCGCAGCAAAGCGGTGCACCAGACACGATCTGAATGTGAAGCAGCAGCTGGAGCAAAGAAGTGTTCAAAAACGCTCCAAATTTCCAATGGAGCCAAACGAGTGTATGGCCGTCGTGGTATCAAAACCTTGCAATGATGCCATTTCTAACGAGAAGCCTCATCTGCATTTTCAAGCCCAGCAACAAAGGAAATATCAATCGCTTCGGATCTTCACCGGCACACTGAACAGACTCGACAGCTGCCTGGTGGCTTGGCATGCCCGATTGTTGCAAAGTGGCTATCGACTATGTCTTTTCTCCGCCGTAGTGAACATGTATGTGTGTGTGTGTGTGTGTGTGTGTGTGTGTGTGTGTGTGTTTGTGTGTGTGTATATATGCTTTTGTGTGTGTGCGTGTGTTTGTGTGATGAAGCAAGATATATCTAGTGAGGTAATGCAAGTTTACCTCGACGCAGGGTGGGTGGCTGCTTGCAGCCAAGGAAGCCAGCAGTAGATGAACGTCCCTCGTTTGCTTCATGTACATAAACATGCAACCCGCACGCCCTGAGTCTTTTGGCAGGAGCATGAAAGCCTGGACTCAGCTCGGAGAGTGAAACAAGGGGCTCAGGTTCTCTATACGCTTTTAAAGTGTATGTATGTGTTTCTTGGTTCGGTTAGCTTGCAAAAAGGTCCAGAACGTGCCATGTAAGTAGTGCATAGCGCCTCTCCCCGCAACTTGTCGAAAAGCCTGGTAAGAGCAGAACTTGTCTCGTTGCTCTCCGGGACGAGGTCCTACGCCGTGGGAACGCTGCAGAGGACCAGACAATATGCTTCAGTACAGGGCATGGCAGCCAACTTGGAAGCATTTAGCAGTTCAACGCGACTCCTGCTGCTGCTGCTGCTCCTCCTCGTCGGCGGCTCACTGCTAGCACTGCTATAGCACCGCTGGCACTACCACCGCTGCTACCACCACCGCTGCCGCCGCCCCAACCGCGACTTCGACCACTACACCGCTCGGTCTGTTTGTTGCAGGAGATTCCCCGGCTGCTCCTCGAGCTGGGCCTGCTCAGGGTGCCCGGGCATCGGTAGGGGTCCAGGGGTTTGGGGGTTGAGGAGTTTCAATAGTTTCGGGAACTTTGGCCCTCCGCTGATAAGAGAGTCTGCAAGCTTTCTGATGCTTCTCTTTCCAGGATATGCGATCAACCGTTACGGTTCGGGTGCAGCTTTCTTTCAACCGCCGCGGCGAGCCCTGGCACCAAAGCTCAGACGAAGAGGTGGGGCTTCCCCAAAACCACCCCAAGATTTCGTGAGATCTTGTTTGGCAGGTTGCCACCAGGCTTCGTGCCTACGGTATCGAGGTCGAGAGCTATCCCGGCAACGTCCTCTACGAGCCGCAGGAAGATCGGGGTCTGTGCTCTTGCTCTCTTGCTCGCTGTTGCCACAGTTGAAAGCCTAAAGGCCTAAAGCCCAGGATCTGCAGCCCATCGAGCGCTGGCAGAGGTGGCGGGCCAGGGTCCGGGCAGAGGAGGCAGCGGCCCGAGGGCTTCCGGCGGACTCGGCGGCAGCGAGCGGCAAGCCCAAGCAGCTGGAGCGCCCGCCCCCGCCGACGCATCAAATGCTCTTCTGGCGCCAAACACATCAGATCCTGTTGCAATGAGTCCATCGAAGAGCGGAGGAGCACATCAGCGGCTTTGGCAGCTACCGTTTCTTCTCCCATGCTCTGGAGGAGCCGGTGCCGGTGCTTGCATCCCGTGCCTCTCGTGCCTCTCGTGCCAGGAGCTGGGCCCACCTCCCTTTCCCTTGGGCACAGTGGACCGGCTCCCCCGCTGCCCGGGCGTTGCCTCGGAGGACTTGGATGCTTTGGGACTGGGCGAGACCTCAGGCGCATAGACTCCTGACGGTCGTGGCAAACGAGAGTTGAAGCACGGCCGACCTGTTAACCAGGTCGAGGCTTCTCCGCGGACTTTCGCCAGAGCGCCAGCCACAAATCTGGCGACTGGGCTGCCGGCATCAGGCAAGGAAGGGCAATCTACGAAAGCACATCAGTCAGCCCTCGCTGGATGTACAGTGTCTGCTTCATCGTATGCTTGGCATCCTCTGCTGGGCAGAACAGCTGCAGGGGACATGTTCTGGAATCTTCCGAGTCAGGATGCACAGTTTCAGTCTTGGTCCAGACGTCTGACGGACTGCTGCCAAGGAACCAACACAGCAACCCTGTCTTTATGACAGGTCATGGTGGAAGGTTGGTGAAGCTGCGGCGAACGAGCGGCTTGGACACTTCCTCGACTCTGTGCTGGCTGCGGGTGATTTCGAAGGTCGGAAGCGATTGCTCTGCCATGAGCGGAACACATCCGAGCTTTCCCCGTACATCCGCTTCGGAGAGATCTCAGCTCGAAAGGTTTACTGGGCAGCGAAGCGCCGCAGAGAGCGAACCAATCAGAAGCTCTTCGAGAATCCCGGCTACGAGTACGTGGGAAGGCACGCGAGCTATCAGGGAAATCGGGACGAGGCCACCAAAGCCAATGCAACATTCCTCCGGCGCTTCATCTGGCGGGACCTGTCCTACTGGCTACGCGGTCCAACGTGTGAGCTCTGCTGATGAGGTTGAGGTGTTTTTGGGTTCAGTATTGTCATTCTCGGAGCGCAAGTCTCTCGCAGAGTCTCTCTTTCAGGTTCCTGTGGCAGTTCCCGAGCCTGCCACGGACGTCCTTGCGACCGCAGTACGAGGAGCAGACCTGGAGCGGCACCCGCCGGCAGCTGCGGCACTGGCAAAGAGGCCCTGCACGAACTTAGTGGATGGCAGGTTTGATGCGAGAGTACTTCGGCTTGGGGTTTGATGGTTTCAAGCCGCGATCCGTGATTTTTGGCTCAAGCATCAGCGGCCCGACGTTGTCAGTGCCACTAGACCTCGCAGTGCTCTGCGCCGCTGAGATCAGTTGCAATGCAGTACCGACGAATACTGAGCGTGGCCTTGGCCCTGTTGGGGTCCTCCGTGGCCTACAAGTCTCGCAGCTTCAACAGCATTGACGCCGAGGATGCTGGAAACCCCATCCGCAAGGTAGTCGCCATGATGGAGAAAATGGGTAAGAAGATCGAAGAGGAGGGCAAACACGAAGAAGACCTCTACGACAAGTTCAAGTGCTACTGCAAGAAGACGGCCAGTGAGCTCGAGGCGAGCATCCAGCAGCAGGAGTACAACCCCGAAGCTTGGCTAAAATCGGAAATCCGAGTCCGAGTCCGAGTCCTACTTGTAGAAGTGTTCCGCTGAGACGCAGACTTGGCACAAAGCGCTCTGATGGACGAAGTGAGGTGACCCCGGCCGACATCGAGGGCCGTGAGGCCGAGATCAGCGCCCTCGAGCAGGAGGCCTCCCCCCCCCTTCACCCCTCCCCCCGCAGAGAAAAACTCCGGTAAGAGGGCTGCTTTGGGCTAGAAATGGTGGGTGAATCAGCTGAAGAGCTGCGCCGAGACCGGCGAAAGGGTTTCGTGGGGCCTCCTCGGTCTCTTGGAGTGGAGTTCTCTGATTACCAGGTCACCAAGCTCAAGGAAGAGCGTATCTCCGAGGAGGACACGCTGAAGGCGGCAGAGGTGCAGCGAGGGAAGGAGTGGCCTGGCAGATGTTACGTCCAGTCCCTCTTTATTCCTCTCCCCCTCTCTCCCCCTCTCTCTCTCTCTCTCTCCCTCGCTCGCTTTCCGTTTCCCTCTATCTCCCTCTCTTTTCAGGCACGAGCATTACGTGGAGGAGCACACCGAGGACGTCTGACAAAGCATGGCAATTCTTCCAAGGCCGCTTAGGAGCTACGGAGCAGCCTGAAAAGAGTCTTTGTGAGGACACTCAGGTGGTCGAACAGATCTCCCAGGCCGAGCAGGCTCTGAAGACAGGATCTTCTACGGCCCTGCTGCAGAAGGCCCCGATGCTCCGTGCTGCGGACCGACACCTGGCAGCCTCGGAGAAGCAGCGCCTCGTGTCCTTCTTGTCCGGGGAGAGGATGGACCCGAGCTACGTGCTGGGCATCTTGAGTGGCATGGCCGACGACACCAAAGAAGAGATCGCGACCGATGACAAGAACGAGGACACAGCCATCCACACCTACGACGAGCTCGAGGACTCCAAGAAGGTAGAGATCTCCACACTGCTGGAGCAGTTCGAGCGGAAGATGAAGCGCATTGGCGAGCTGAAGGTGGAGGTGGTGAACATGAAGAAATCCATGGAGGGTGCGGGCCAGTCCCTGGCAGACGACAAGAAGATGCTCAAGGAGCTTCAGAGCAGTTGCGAGGCCAAGGCAGCTGCCTGGGAGGAGCGTCAAGCAACTCGTCAGAAGGAGCTCTCTGCTCTGCAAGAGACCGTAAAGGTTTTGGACTCCGACGAGTCCTTGGACCTCTTCCGCAGCAAGGCCTCGAGCCTCCTTCAGCTCTCAAAGGGGGATCAAAACAAGAAGGACAAGGCGCTGGAGCTGGTGCTCAAGGCGGGGAAGATTCGGATGCCCAAGCTTAGCATGCTCAACCTTTCGCTCACATGCTGAGCTGCTCGAGGCCCGCAGCGAGGCCCATCCGGAGCTGAACTTTTTGGCCCTGGCACTCTCCGGCCGCAAGGTGCAGAGTGCTGCCGATGCTGGAGTTTAGGGCTTGGGATTTCAGGGAGCTGCGAGCGCTGTACGTTGAGACCTGCGCAGATCGACTTCAGCAAGATCGTGAAGAAGATCGATGGGATGGTCGAGCTCTTAAAGACCGAGGACAAGGACGACGCGAGCAAAAAGGACTACTGCGGCAAGGAGTTCCACGAGGCCGAGCTGAAGACCAAGTCCGTGGCCTCGACCATCACGTCTCTTAAGGCGACCGTAGAGCAGTCCAAGGGTGCCATCGCGCAGCTGGCCACGGAGATTAAGGGCCTCCAGGCTCAGGGACACTTCCGAGACATGTCGAAAAGCATTCTGTGGGAGATTCCTGCCGTCGTAATTTCTCTCAACCCGGTCCCCCATGGCCCGAAAGATTCCTGCTTTTGGGGGTGTTTTTGTGAAGGGGGGCCTGGTGGAGTTGGACAAGACCGTGGCGGAGGCCGGGGAGAATCGCAAGGCCGAGCATGAGGACTTCCAGGCTCGGCACGGGAAGAAAGCGGAGAAGAGAGAGTTTATATCAACTCTTATACTATACATCTTATGTTTCTATGTTTGACTATACATCCTACTATATAATGCTACATTATGCGGACCTGGTGTGGGGATGGCTCTCTGTCTCCTACTATATAATGCTACATTATGCGGACCTGGTGTGGGGATGGCTCTCTCTCTCTCTCTCTGTCTCTCTCTCTCTCTGTCTCTCTGTCTCTCTGTCTCTCTCTCTCTCTCTCTCTCTTCGTGGTCGGGAGATCAGATTTCTCGGCAGCTCAGGAGCTCCTGGCTTCCAACGGTCAGGCGGTGCAGCTCTTGGATCTGGCCAAAAACAAGCTGAATCAGTTCTACAGCCCCAGCCAGTTCGTGGACACCACCACGAAGAACCCCTTCGACCCCTATGCCTTCCTGCAGTCCTCCAGCCGCAAGATGGAGGCGCCACCGGCGACCTTCGAGGGCGGCTACCAGATGTCCGAGAGCCATGGCATCTTCTCCATGATCGCACAGCTGAAGGCCAGGGTCCCAGGGTCCCAGGGCCCCAGGGTCCCCCCCCCCTGTTTGAGCTTTTGGCACAGGCGGACATCGAGCAAGAAATGGCCTTGGCCAAGTCCGACGAGGCCAACTCACAGAAGGATTACGAGAAGACCCTGGCTGATGCAGCAGAGAAGCGTGACGCCGATGTGACGTTGACGCAGGAGAAGGCGAAGACCAAGGCAGATCTTGAGACCGATCTTAGTGACGACAAAAGCGAGCTCTCCAACAAGAAGAAGGAGGCCAGTGTCGTGGAGGAGGTCGTGAGCAACCTACACAAGGAGTGCGACTGGCTCCTTGAGCACTTCGATCTCCGAGCCCAGGCTCGTGCCGAAGAGAAGGAGAACCTGGTGCAAGCCAAAACTGTGCTGTCCAGCATGTGAGCAGCTCCGTCCATAGCCAGAGAGGGCAGAACACGCTCTCCTGAGAAGAAAAGATATCGGTGCGGCTCTCCTGCTCGCTGTGTCTGTCGGCACTGCAAGGATCTGGCCAGCACGTCTTCCTGCTGTTTGCCTGCAGGTTCCACTGGGTTCCCTCTTGTCGATGCAGCCATGCGGCAGCTTTGGGCAGTGGGCTGGATGCCGAACTACCTGCGCCATGCCGCTGGGCTGAAGCAGAGCAGCGGTCCGCTCCTTTTCAAACGCCCAGGTGGTGGCGCAGACGCTCATCGAGTACTTGGACCTGACTTGGAAGCACGGCCTGGACGCTGGGCTGCACTCTGTGCTCATTACACTCGCCTTTCGAAGGGATGTTAGCGTGGACGCAGGTGAGGTCTGCATCCGTGGTGTCTTGACTGGTAAGTCCGGAACTGAAGCCGAGTCGCAGGAGTGGTTTGACTGGACCCTTGTGGACATAGACGTGGCGATCAACAGTTTCATGTGGCAGAACGGTGGCCACTCCGGCCCTGACCACTGGGAGTTTGTACTTCACCCGGCCACTCTGCTTTTTAGTCTTTTACTTTCGGGATGAAAAAGGTTTCCAGAATGTTGCGAGGAGCTAGCTCGCCTTCTCGCCTTTGAGGTGCCCATGCTTGTTACCCTCAGTCGTTGTTCTTGTAAGCATTTTCACAGTGTTTTTTCCAAGACTTGTTGAGCGAGGCCACCGAAACGCTCTGCTTATCTATGCCCAGTAATTCCGAAGCATTGTCGAGTCGAGCATTGCCACTCGAGATCTCAGCGAGTTCTCGGGCATGAGCCCTTTTCCTCGTCTTGGCAACCATGAATGATGGTGGTGATATATCATGATGAAAGCGACCGCGGGGACTGCTCTTTCTGACTAGAACTGTAAAGACTTCGATGAACACATGCAGGGGGACCTGCCGTGCACAAGATGTTGTGATGTCGCTGGGGGCGGGGAGGGGGACTGGTGTCTTTTCCGGAAGTTTGGCCACTAACTCTTCACAGTACAAATGGCAAATAGCTTTCAAGGGTTTTCAATGCTTCATATGCTTCCAAACATGCACTTGAGGTGAACGCTGCCAAAAGCTGCGATCCAGAGGGGCACTATGTCCGGCGATGGCTGCCCTTCTTGGCCGGATGCCCTACTGAGTACATTCACAGGCACAGACTGCCATCGTAAAGCCAAGTCTTCCGAACGGTGGGTGCCCTCCTGTGGCCGGAGGCCCTGGGAGATGCCCCTGCGCGTCGCGCGGCCGCTGGGGCTTCCCAAGCCGGAGCCGTTGGTTCGGGATCTCGACGCGGCGCGACGGGCCCATTGCAGGCTGGCTAGGGCCAGGTAAAGCGTGCCAAACAACAGCTGCAGTGCATGGAGTGCCTGCAGGCAGGTGTTGGAGGTCCGGCGAAAGCACCCGGAACTTCGGCAGCAAACCCATAAGACACAGCTTCCCAGCCAGCAGCTGTCTCTGCGTGGTCATCCAAGATAAACTTGACAGGCACCAGGACATCACGAACACTTAAGCCTCTAGCCGTCTTCGTCTGCAGAACCGCAAACTCTGGTGCCAAAAGCCGCACCACCTCGACCCACAAAATGTTAACCTTGAGCCTTCAAATCGTGAACCCGCAGTCCGTAAGACTGTGAACCTTTAACCCACACCCTGCCCCGTCTTGTTGCTTGGAAAATTGCTCATAAGGATACTCGATACGGTAGAAGAAAGGCTTTCACGGCTGGATGTGCGCATTGGGAAGCCGCAAATGTTGAATTCCCTTACGTCGTCCCTTTGGAATTAGAATTCCCGGATAGATTGCATTTTTTGCATCCTTCACCCATGTCTTCGGCACTTCCTGAGGAGATGGTCTCCCGAACGGGCCATGAATGGCTTCGCTTGGGTGGCGGGCTTTTAGCAAAGCTTGTGACTAGGCAAGAGTTCCGCGCAGAGACCGAGGACGATTCCCGTGCTCTTGGCAGTGTCGTGAAATGTTTTTTCTGCCTTTAGTGTCCTTGTGTCGTGAGACGGAGACGGAGGACTTCATCTTTTACCAGGGACCGAGGCAAAAAGGCTCCTTTGACTGGGCTAGACTCCAGACTTGGGCACGCAAGGGAGTGCTTTTGGCGCCGAGGCTCCAAAGGCGGATCCAAAGGTGGAGGGCTGGATTCTGGACGCAGCGTGCTTGCGGAGGAGGCCTGATGTGGTTTCCACGATCCCTGCAATGCCTCAAACCTGAGCTCAGCTCTCCGGTGCCGGGAGCCCTGGAGGTGCAAAGGCACGAAAGCGACACCTTCGGCCCTGGCCTTTGATGTCTCGGGAAGACTTGGACAACGCGGGACGGTGCCTGTCAAAACCCGAACGACGAGTGTGTCGGAGAGCTCGAGCGCGCCGAGTCTGAGTCCTGCTGTGGACGAGGCCAAGCGGGTGGGCTTGCCGAAAGCTTGCGTGGGGTTTACGGTCTGCATGAGGCTTCGGGTTAGGATTTACTCAAGGGTCTTGACATGAGGATGTGAATAGAGTCGGATAGTGGGATAGAGTGCACGATCCTTGTCGAGAGATGGAGGTCGGCATCGGCTTCTCTGAGGGGGTCATGCTCGGCAACTAGTGCCGTGAGACTCGAGCATCTCGAGCAGATGTCCAAGACTGCGACCAAGCTCTGCAGGAAGATCTTGGAGAAGGAGGGAGGAGGGTGCAAGAGTTTTAAACGATCGCCAAGGGGACCTGCCAAGCAGCCCGGTGGTGCTCAGACTGTTTCAACCTTGTCTGGACGGCGTCTCGGCACTGGCCGGGCGTGCGCCGGCAATCCTCGCACATGCTTAGATTCCTTTTGAAGCGTGCTGCGTGCTTTGCATGCCTCTGGGCGCTAGAGAAGACCAGCTAATCCCAGCAGAGGGTCAGGCACCATGGAGTTGCTACCCCTTGGCTTGCACATGAGGAGCGCTCGCTGGAGGTTCGTGCCTGGATGCCAGCGAAGCCAGATTGGCTCCCCGGACTCTACCAGCAACTGCGAGTTTAGATTCTGTGCACTCTTCCACTCCCAGGTTGGAGGTTCGGCCCTGCCAGCTGCGCCTGCGCTTGGGTGGCCGGAAGTGGAGCTGTGACCTTCCAGAGCGAGTACTCCCGGAGGCTGCAGAAGTCAAAACATGGCAATCGCGACGAAAATCCCCTTGCAAGTGTTACGTGCCCGTCAGGCTCCGCTGAACCGCGTCGTGTGCCTGGGACGTGCATTCTCAGTCCTCGCATGGCCCCCCCAAAAGCAAAGCAAAGGTACAGGAAGTGCAGCAGCATGTTGGTTGGCAGCTTAGCGCCGCCGCGTGCGTGCTGTGGCTCTGAAATGTCAGTGGCGCTGAAGCTTTTCTCCCAGAAAGTTTCGAAGAGATACGTCCTAGGTAGTATCCTAAACCCCAAGCCCTAAAGCCCTAAACCCTAAACCCTAATCCGAACCCCTAATCCGCTCAGGTCGTGGTTCTCAGAAGGCCCTTTGCCTCCAGTACCTGGCAGCTCTTTGAGGACTGCGACCGCCGCTTCGCCCAGCTTCAGGAAGAGGCTTCTTGCAACTACTAGTATTACTTCTATTACTATTGCTATGGTTACTACTATTATTACTACTATTTTTTCTTTGTATTAGGTTGCGCCCGCCCGCCATGATTCATACCAGCCTTCTCGCCGGACTGTTCTCCCACCGTCTTTAGTCTCTGTCTGTTGTTTCTCAAGTAAAAGTACTAGGTCACTATTACTACTGCTATGATTGCTGCTTTTTTTTACTAATTACTATTTCTTCTTCTTATTATCATTACTACCATTGCTATTACTACTATTCTTATTCATAGCAATTTTGATATAGTTCGTTTGTTCAGTTGTCCTTTTGGTATTGTCAGCACCAGCACAAGGGCCTAGGGCCTAGTTGTTGGTGTCACGTTTGGCAGGCGGCGTTGGATTTTGTTCCATTCTCGGTGTTGTTACTTCGAACATTATATATGGACGACACAGAGACACATCGCCACCGTTTTTTGGCGCTATAGCTTTAACAGCAATACACTTACACCAACAATGACATCGCCGCATTCATAGCGAAACACGGCATGAGATCGCGATTCAGCAGTGGCCTTCATAGAATGGGGCAAACTAGTTGCCGGCCTCCACAGACGCTGGTTGGACCAGACAAAACGAACACAAGATTCCTCCTTCCCCGATGTGCGCCCGTCCTTTCGAGAACATGCTTCTTGCAAAAAGAATCACATTGGGTGGCCCGACCGGGAGCACTTTAATCGGAATCTGCTCGTCCAGGCAGTCCGGCTGGCATGATGTGAGGAAATGGGAACACTCGGTTCCAAGAAATACTAAAACCAGGCAGCTTGTTTGTCTGCAGGCTCGGCGGGTCCTCGGAGACATGGTGGACGGAGACGTGCAGATCACCGGGGAGGCTCAGGGTTACTATGAGCGCTGCTTTACGGGGCACAACAAGGGTTCTTGAAGCAGAAGGGCCAGGGATTCCATGCCAATGAGGGCACTCCGGACACCACTTGTCTGGAGTGTACTTTCGCAAACCTCCAGCAGAGGTGGATGGCCTGAGGAGTGTCGATGTGCAGATAGACAGCCGTGGGGTGGCAATTGACTTCGCGTGACCTGGTCTGCCTATGCGATTTCGGACCCGCTCGACGTTTTTGTTGACTTCCACAAGCCCCGAAGCGAAGCGTGTGGTTTTGCGGGGTCAGACTGTAGAACCACACTGCAGGTCGCATTTTGCACAGAGGAAGCAGGACATCAGCAAATATACGAAGAACAAAATGCGAGCATGCGTACGACATTGTAGTGGACGGACACTCTGCTGGGGCTCTTCGAGTGTTGTTTCAGTCCTCAGACTGCCTGCATTTCGCAACGCCGGCGTGTTTGTGGCCACCAGAACGCACTTCGAGATTGGTATGCATGCGATACACGCAGCAGAGAAACCATCATCTGCCCAAAAAACGACTGGCAAAAGAAGAATCCACTCCGAGGCCGCCCAGCAGGGAGGTGAGTGGCCGGCCGCTGGTGGTGCTGGCCGACGGAAAGGAGGGGCTTCAAAAGCTTTTCTCTCGAGGTCCCGAACTGGGGCCCTCTGGATCTGTAGCACGTCGAAGGCTATTTTATCTATACCGGGCTCCAGCTTCGCGTTCAGGGGCAGGCTTTGAAGGGTGCACCAGCTATCATCACGTTTGCTTCTCCGAGGAGGAGGAGTTCCTGCCGTGGGCCGAGGAGGTGGGGCTTGTCGGTGAGAGCTTCTTACAAGGATCAACGACCCATGTAAATGCAGCTGAATGTGCGGACATGTGTGTGTGTGTGTGTGTCCTCGGCTACTCTTGCACGGAGGTGCATCCGTGTTCATCAACCGAGGAGGAGAAGCAGAAGGAGGACGAAGATGCAGATGCAGCAGGTGCCCGCTGGTGTGTGAGGGACCTTGAACATCTGGCGATTTCATGCAGGCAAGAACTGGGAGAGGGCAGCCTCGAGAATTCACAGGCGCTGTTTGACGGGAAGCACGGGTTGTTGGATTGCTGATCAAAGCTTGTGCCCCATCGTGTGAGGCAGGCAAAGAGAAGAGGAGTAAGGGTGGGTACGCCACTGGCTCGGCGTGAAGATGGGAAGCCGGTGAAGGTGCTTCTGTGATTTTCTTGAGTATAGATGAGAGAGACGATTGTTTGTCTGCGTACGTCCACAGGGACACTCCGTCTTCACTCTTCACCCGCGTCGGAAGGGCGACCTGGTGTTGTGGCTCGCCAAACTGTTCCTAGCCGTTTTTCAAAAGCTGCTTTGTCGGCTGTGTCAGGTGCTACCGCGGGCAGGTGCTTCGCCGGCGATGCCTGTTGAAAGGCAGTCGAGCCCAGCGGTTCCATTTTGCCATGGATGCCGATGCTCGGCGGCAGCCCAGCCGTCCCTCGAGGGGTTACTGCCGTTTGGGCCGTGTCAACATGTGTCAGCTGCGTGTCAGGAGTGGGCCGTGGATGGGGGCACCGGTGGACCCCGGCCCTACGCCGCGCACGTGGCCGCCTTTCTCAACAGCCCCGCAGGTCGGAGAGAGACAAGCAGCCATGAGGTGTGTGGGGGGTGTTGGACTTCATCGTTCTTCTCGTCAGGTTGCTTGGATGAGTCCGGGGCCGCCCTGCAACCGCCGCTTGGCAGCTCATCCGTAAGGTGAGACATGGACTTCGGACTTCCGAGCCGAGGAATCTTCGGGTCCGCATCGACCCATCAGAGGGCTTGGGCCCACATGCTCTGCAACTGCTGGCCGCCCGAGACATCGAGGCGGCCAGGGCTAGCAAAGGGGTCTCCCCCTTCCCTTCCTTGGTCCTTCCTTTCCTGACGTTGCTCAGGCGGGTGAGGAATTGTGCTTCGACTACGGCGACAGCCACCAGCTTGATGATCTAAGCTCGGACTCGGATGGCGAGGACGCAGAGCAGCACGCTTAAGGGTGGCATGCTCAAGGGTTTCTGCATGGACAGGACCCCGTTTGGCTTGCGTTATCCAAGCTGATGGCGAGCGACGGCGATGCCAAGACTTCTCTGCGATGCAGAAAAGCTGGGGAAAGTTATGCAGTATGCAGGTGACATTATCCTTGATTGCCGTTATCGTTGCTGTCGAGAGTGTTGTTGCGGTGGCAGGAAACAAAAGAGGACTGCCTGCCAAGCCGAGTGTCCTTACATCACAGGGACTGCGAGTTAGTGGCCAGTTTGTGGCTAATACCATACTTTTCATAGTGCTCCAGCGATTCTTGGCGAGATTCAGTCGTCAACAGCAGGACTCCAATCCGGATCCAGTTCCGGCCACAGTCAATGCTGTGGCTTTCAGGAGCTCCGCTTTCCCATCCGTGCGACTGTCTCAATCGTGCAGGTGCTGCTTCTAGCAAGTTCAATCGAATTCAGCAGATTGTTAGGACCATCTTTACCAAGATGGACTTCGTGGAACGAATTCGCGATGTGTGGTGGCCTCGAGAACCTTCTTCGGTGCATGGAGGATGAAGCTCACTCGTTGCAAGGCGCTACAAGGGGAAATGTCCGAGGATTTTGTCGGCAGAGGCTCCGGAGTCTATTCATTAGCAGATTTCAGAAGTTCTGAATTGGCAATAGACGTTTTCGTAGCTCCTCAGAATAGCAGCACCTTGATAGTAGTAGCATTGCTGCGATGCTGCTGACGATGATGTGTCGGTTGGAAATTATTCTCATTCTTGTTGCTATGTCCCATCATGCCTAACCCTTTGGTCTCAATTTCCCTAACACAAGAACTATGATGAGTTAATCCTCCGATCAAGAGTGCAAAACGTTTATCTTCGGTAGAATTCCTCCAATGAAAACCGGACGATGTTAACCCAAGTCAGTCCTTTGACAATGTTTCACTGTCTCGGCTGCAGGAGACGTTGTTGATCAACTCCTTCTACCTGCGGTTCTCTCAGAAGGCACAGGGGGGCTTCCAAATCTGCAATCGACGCTGCTGCTACGATGCCCTGCGACGCTGTTGACGACGACGACAACGATTAACATTCTTCTTCTGCGACCACTTCAGATTGATACAGGCGAGAAAACAGTAGAAAGATCAGTCACCGGATCGCAGTTGTAACAGTAGTGGTCGCAGTGACAGCAGTGCGGCAAAAAAGCATCGGTACGATCAGGACTATGAGCAGAGTAGGTGTGCTGGCAACAGCTTTCGCATTTCATTAATGCTCGCAGCTGCATCTAGCAATACTGGTACCATTCAGGCAGCCAGAATGACGAAGGCAAGTGTCCTAATAGTTGTAGTTGCCACAGCAACATCCATGATCAAAAAGGCATCGGCAAGGATGTAAATCATGACCCGCTGGTGTGCCCGTCGATTGCACTTCCGTCGTTGCCAAGCTGATGTGTGATGTTTAACATCTCGCGAGGCCAGACAGCATGGCATCAAAGTGACGACCCTTGGCAGCATGGTGTCGGAATTGTCCTTCAGCAATGACTTGGGACTGCTACGGCGGAAACGACAAGCCCACACAGCAACATATTATGTAACAGTGTTTTATGGTATTTTATATTATATCCCAGCATGGTATGTTACCGCGCCATGTTGGTGTGGAAGTTCCTGCGTGCCGTCAGGTCGCCTGTCTGCTCGCAGTGGACGCAAAAATACAAACCGGAGGCACTTTCTTGTGCTGCATGGGGTCCTTCGCTGGGCAGCATGTCTAGCAGCAGAAACCATGTGGCAACATTCCAGCACTGTATCAAGACTCTTCCACTGTTTCAATACCATCCCCGTTCGGATGCGTCGTCCACGACCCTTTCTCCAGCTACCAATAAGACAATATTACCTATATACAGGTCATAGTAGTAAGACGAGTATAGTAAGAAATAGTTGTAATGATAACGATAACAATAATAGTAGCAACCACATTGGTAATAATAGTCATAGCCATCATCATCGTAATCATAAGAAGAAGAATAGTGAGACGAAGAAGTCTGCTTTGGAGGCGCCTCCGGAGAAGAGGTCTTACGAGTGGTACTTCCCCGAGACCGGCGGCTCAAGCCTTGGCGTTTCGTTTGATTCGACACCCAAAGCTTTTAATACGATGATGCCCACGGCTGCGTTTTCTTATGACTATGTGAAGCTGTAAGCCCGTAAGCCGCAAGAAAAGGATCGCAGCCCACATGTCGGACGGGTGTTTTCAAGATCGGGTCTGTGCGGGAGTTAGCATCGAGAAGGACATGCTAGACCCTAAAGGGTGCAACCCGATACAGCAAGCAAAACCCAACTTGCAGTGCTCGGCTAAGAACGACTGCACCTCGGCTTGCACGACGCAAAAGAAGAGGAGGTTGGGCTTGACTTGCTAGTGTATTGCTCATACGCACATGAGAGGTCTGCCAAATTTAGGGCCTTTGGCTCCACACCAATCGCAGGTGAATCGGGGTCTGGGCTTACCGGCTGACCGGTTTTATGTTGAGCCATTTGCTGATTTCAAGAGGCTTGCATGGAATAATCTGGCGCCCTGACACCTTTCCAAAGCAAACCGCCCTACGTGCAACGACATGCATTGCACACTGTTGCTCTGCACCTAGCCCTCCTTGTTTCCAAGACCGACCCTTTTGTTGAACCTTGGACAAAGGTATTTCGGAACTCCCTTACAGGTTTGACCATTGCTGGATTCAGAGTCTCTCCTTCGCAGTTTGCTTTGCTGGTATCAGATCTAGAGACTCGGGCTTGAAGGGGATGGGAATGGGGATGGGCTTCCTGTGAGGTCAGAGACCCAAGCGATAGCAAATGCGATGCCTCCACTGTCCTGAGATGAGATTTGACACCATGCCAGGATCTGTGGATCTTCTTGCGGCAACTGACTGGCTTGGAGGATCTGGAGGCTGCGAAGGCACGGTGGCGGCTAGCTACGGCTAGGACTTGCTGGCCCACTGGCATGTCAGATGGATGCAGCGCGCTGGTGGATGTGGCAAGTATAGGAGATCTTGTTCTATTGGAAGCACAATAAATTTCCCGAAGATTGTGCCGCAAACCGGATCCGACGTGCCAGGCATTTGCTTGGTCGAATGCTGGCGCTTCCGGCCTTGAGGCGTGGCTTGGAAACCCACTATAGTTGCTGAATGTTAAAAAATGTTGCAGCTGGTAGTATGGCTAATGAGAACCACTCACTTGAACATTCCACTCTGAACACCTGTGCGGCTGCGCTCATTGTTGGAATAGGGCATGGTAACTAGTAGTGCACGGTTCGTTGCAGACCGTGCGTGTCCCCGTCGGTATCAAGCGCTTGCCCAGTCAGAAATGGATCTGTCCCTCACTGGTCGAGAAGTAAATTGGCCAGGCTTTCTGCAAGGAAGATGTCCATCTGCTGACTGGCGCTCTGGTGCGCTGGCCCTGCGCTTACGGTGTGCTGACGCGCTGAGGCTGAGACCATGAGCTTCAGTGTTGAACTACTACGTACCGAATGACCTACACCTACCAAGTGTTCTATATGCGTGGGATTGTAGTTGCTGCGACTACGCGGGCATCCTTAATGTCTCAATTCAGCAGCTCTGCCAAGGTCAGAAAAGGCTCGTATGCACGGGCTCCTAAGTTCAACGAGGCTGAAGTCGGTTGGCCAGGACGGCCTGTGCCTGTGCCCCTCGCCTTGCGAGTCCTCCACTTGAGGCGTTGGGGATGCCACCAAGGGTAGGTCCTCGAAATGGCACTTACAACAAACTGCATGCACATGACCTTCCCTCAAGCTCTAGGCTCTAGATTTGGTCAATAAACTCACTACACGGACAGGGCCGGTAACTCGTATTGGGGTTTGTCTTTGCTTGCAAATCGCGTGTCTCGCAGGATGGCAAGCAACTCGAGTTCTTGCTGTCTAACAACGAGACATTGTGGCTGAACGTGGACAGCTCTGGTAAAATGTCGCAAAGACACTCAGGGCAAATGCAGAGATAAACATGCTCACGAACAGAGTGCATGTCGTAGTGCACCATCTCGCCTTGTTTGCTTTTGACGGTGCAGACTTGGCAGAGCATGGCAGAGACTGCGCAGGACGACATGTCTCTGGAGGAAGACATCTGGGTGTTCCTCCTGGATCTTAGCCGCGTCCCCATGGAGGCCATAGCCTGCTGCCATGAGTCTGAAGTGACTCTGCGCGAAGACTTCCCGTCTCCCCAGCTGCCAGAGCCTGGTGCCTGCGGAGCCTGCGGAAGAGACAGATCCATGGCAGGCCTCGTTTCCTGTGGTTTTCAATTCAACGAGACAGAAACCACGTTCATGGTTGTGTGGGTTGCTCCCATGATCCCCGTTCGTAGTCTTTCTTGGCATCTCTGTTCAAGGGAAGTTCGGCGTCTTTGCACGGCATATTGCCGTGCCCATGCCAGGATGGATCTTGGAAGCGTCGGGGCCTCGGCGAAGACAGTGAGTCCGCGGAGGGTTCCAGAGCAAGGTGAGCAACGTGCACCGGTTTGTCTCGTACAGCCTCGGTTTTCGGGTCCCTGCTGTGGGCCTTCCGACCAGGCCTGGCAAGGGAGATGTGGGAGCGGAAGCCGCAGGAGCAAGAGGAGCCGAAGAAGGAGCAACGCCAGCGTGCGAGGATTCAAAGCTTTTTGCGTCTGGATGGTCCTTGCAGGAAGAGGCCAAGCAGAATTGGTGGGAAGACAAGGCCACTTTCTGAGTCTTGAGTTATCCGCTCGTAATTTTAGCCGAGGGGACAGCAGAATCAGCATCAACTCGGCATATCCGAAGGAAGCAGCTGCATCGCTTCGTTCCTTGTTCGAAGCTTCCCTAGACCCTACAAGCCGCAAAGTCCGGTTCTTCAAACCCCTGAACCCAGAAACCGAGGCTTAGTTGGTGGAATAGCATTCCTTTAGGGCCCCTTTTTTCTTATGGCAGGCAGGAGAGAAAGCTCTGTTCATGGGATCCGCTAATCCTTTTGGATGTGGTTTGGGTAAGGCTTGACTGGCGCGGCAGATGATTGGTTTTCAGACTGCGAGACGTTCGTATTGCAGAAGAATGAGCTGGCCGCACCTGTGAACCAGGAGCTTAAGCAGTTTGCAACGCCCTCATCTACTGTCCTTCTGTAGCCCTCGGGACCGACAGTCCGTGAAGCATCCGCGCGCACTCTACACTGTAGTATTCGATTCAGTCAGCTTCAGTCTGCAGCACTACGCCGGACTTCTTTGACAAGGGCTTCCTGCGGACCGCCTAACAGAAAAGCCTGCCGAGCTTCGAGCAATCATAGACCTCAAGATGTCGTGTCACATGTAGGAGTGACAGGGCTGGGTTTCTGATTTGGATTCTCTGTGTCGGTTTTTCGGGTTTAGGATGATGGCCAGACTTCTTTGACGAAGCCACTTCCGCGAAGTGAATGCCAGCCTAAAGTACATGGGTTGCCGAATTGCAGACGGAATAACAGGCCGAAGCACTACTTCGAGATTTAAGACGGTTCAACACCACTCCCTGACCTTAGTACTTCAGCCCTTCGACCCGCCAATGTCATTTGAGGACTGGAATGGACAGAAGTATCGAGATCGAGACACCGGCTGGGGTCGATATGGCAACCAGCGATGGGACAATCACAGGAAAGACAGGCGGCGTGACTGGTGGCCTCGGAAGGACGCGGCTGAGTTACCGTGCAAAGTGATAGCCACAACGTCGAGCTTAGGACAAATGAGACGTAAACATGCTGCTGGCATGAGAATCGGCGGCAAGAGCCCGAACGAAAGAGCTGACGAATCTGATGAGGACTTAAAGTGCAACGTGAATGTTCTAATGGCCGTGATTCCATGATGCTATGCTACAGATGAAAATCAGCAATTGACCATACGGGAAATGCCATCGAGAAAAAGAGAATAACGCTCGTCCAATTGGAGGAGATTGCTGCTATCCACGGCAGCCTCCGCTAAAATGTGTTGTTCGTACTAATTCCGGTTAAGGAGGATCAGCAGGAGTGCAACAGTCATGGCAGTCGTCGTCAGTGCACTCTGCTTCGCCGAGGTACGTGTGATCCTTGCAGACACCTGTAAGAGTCACAAGACTGAGCAGCGTAGCCAGAACTAGCCAGAACGTGCAACTTGACTGACCGTTGAGCGCAGGATTGGCAGCAGTCTGAGCCAACGAGCCATTCTGCCGGCAGGGGAGACTTCTGGGGCGATTCTTAAAAAGGGAGTGTTGTTGAGATCCCTTTGGCAACGACATGTTGTCTAGAGTTGGTCTTCGCTTCCCGACTTGGCATGAGTTCTGCAATCCAGAAGACTTGCTATGAGATTGAAAGAGCAACAGGCTCCGCTGTCGTAAAGACAGTGGTGATGGTGCTGCCTCGAAATCCTGATCCGAGGTGTGCTCGAGGGGTCTGGTGTGTTCTGTGTCATGTTCTGAAGGTGACTCTGGCATTTTCAGCATGGCAGATGGTGCGAAGCATGCAGTCAAAGCTTGCCTCATTGAGGCGCTCCACAACAGAGATGTTCCGGCAAAAGGCCCCCAAAGGAAGCCCCAAGCCCCAACGCAAGTGCATGCGACGAGCAGCTTGGCCCAAGTCCCGTAGCCACTCGCAGATGTCGCTGCGGAAGCGGGGAGCTTACCTGTCTCCGAAAGGAATGCAACAACAATTTCTTTAGCACCAGTACTTGGTTTTCTTGTCGCAGAACATGACCAGCCGCCTTGGCTGCTATTTACGAGTGCGGGGACTGCAAGGGGCAGGCTTCGCCTGCCCACAGACTAAGAATTGGACTTTGCCGCGACGTTTTAACCTTGGCGCGGAGTGCATTAGCTGAGGTGACTCCTGTGTACACAGTGGACAATGTTGGGCTCCATTTTCGTGCGAGCCTTGGACTACCTGCCTTGGAGTGTTCCATTCTCACGAGGCGCCGTGAGAAGAGGGAACGTGCACAGGAATAGTACCTCTGTGCAGCACTGTCTGTGGCTACGAGGTAAATTGCACGATTATATGACACGCCTTGCTCCGCGGCACATGTGTGCTGATTCGAACCGTTGCGATTATCGCCGTCGATGCTATTGCTATGTGTAGGTTTAGGCTAAAGCATCATATGTGGCTGTAGCATGTCGTAAAGCGCAACCACAGATGCGTGGGCGTGCGTGAAAAGTTTAGCCTCTCGAGGCGGGGTGCCTTGGCACAGCTGCTGGGTACAGCCCATGGCTTACCTGGGCCAGAATGTGTGGCGACATGAAACGTGAAGTCCGCCGTGCCCTCTCTTGCCCCAGGTGCCTCGCAGGGATCTTACTACAGCTTTCGCGATAGTTGCCGTCATGGAGTCATAGTCTTTGCTTTGTAGTGGTTGGAGTTCTGGGTGAGGCCCCTAGTCGACGTGCTTGACGAGCCCGTTCTTGCGCGGACCCTCCGAGTAGGACCTCGCCTTGTGGAAAACACATGGCAGTCTTCCACATGCGAGGGTTACGGCTTCGCATGAAAAAGTTTGAGCTGAACAAAGCAGGAACCACAGCTGCAGCTGCTGCTTTGGCAGTGGCTTGGTCCAACAGCAGAGTTGCAAAGCATCATCTCTGGGGCGATCGATGTAACTCGAGCTTGCTCGTCAGGTTCAGCTGTGTGTGCTGGAACGCGCTGGCAAGGGCAAGCAACTCAAGGGAGTCTCACGTTGCTCAGATGCCATTCTAGCACAGATTCATGCAACGAGTGGCAGAGGCTCCAAGGAGCTGGAGAAGAATGAGGATAAGACCCTGACCTTCCGAGAGGTGCCGAAGTTAAGCTTTAGTTCATGGGGGTGGGGACTGTATCCAATTCACAGCTTTCATCTTTACGGCTGATACCTGTTTGCGGAAAATGTTGAAACAGGAGCTCGTGAATGCTAGTCTTGGCTCACCCCTACTTTATGTTCTAGATCTCTTGCGCAATTTATGCAGGAGGATGGCTTGACCAAGCTGGTGCCGCTAATCCCGGAGCCACACGCAGACCGCAAGCAGGCCTTGTGTGAAGGATTAAGGTGCTGGATGTGTGTGGAAATCTTTTAGACGCCTCCTCACGAAGCTTGAAATCACATGATTTTTGAGCTCCATTTCATGGCGTTAGTCCTCTGGGGATAGAAGATTCAGGGTTTCGTTGCTTCCCAAGCATTGTGATAACACGATTTCTTCCGTTGGCAGAAAATTAATCTAACATCGGGTTCTTTCCATGTTGTCGCGCTTGCCGCTTCCTTCGAGAACGCCCACTTCATCGTAAAGACCCAATGCTTCGGCATTGTCCAATCGACACATCGTGCTTTCGTCGCGCCGGGTGCGTGCTTTGACTGTGCTTTGCCTTCAAGTCGCTCGAAGTTGCTGAAGTCCTAGCATGGCACCGCCGCGGCTGTTCTTGTGGTCTCGAAATTCCGTCGTTCCAGGTCCAGGGGTTTCGGGAATTTTGCGAGATTCGATATTCTGCTCCGGTGCCGTGAGTATTTTAGGCTGCATAGTAAATCTTCCAGTCCCGTGAATGGAGTGCCCGCCTCCCGATGTGCCACAATGTGAAAACCGTGCTCGTGCCACAGTCCCGCGCACGTCGTGGTTCGTGGGGGTGAGGCTTGTCGCACAGTGCGGTTCCCATTGTGGACCCCTTTTGTCTTGGCAGCTTCAGGGTGCTTGCTCTTCGGCACATGTACGGCCCAGATTCTGGCAGCTGTATTACACATGGGTGTCTACATTAGCAGAATTCGCAGTTGAACAGACCCTGTTGGACCCATGTGACGAAGCTTCAGCACCCGGAGAGGCAAGCAAAGAACGCACATGCACTCACGACTTGTTTTGCTACAGCAGACAAAAGCTCAAAGGGGCCCCCTGCGGTCAGAGCCGATAGGGCCCACAGGTCAAGCTTCACACGCCAGCGGTAAGCTGATTCACAGCTTCCCGAAATCTAAAATTGACCTGTGCCCGCTAGCGTGGTTTCACTCGTCCTTGATCGCGGCGCTCCTTTCGGTCTATCATGCGCTCCTCCTCTGCCACCAAGCGGTACGTGCCCTTCTGGAGTAGCTGCAGCATGGCCGTCTTATTGGCGCCGACTTTTGTGAGACAGTCGGCAATCATAGACTGATGCTCCACCCAGCGCACCCTCACACCGAGACCGTCTATGCGCTCTCTGGCGATGCTCACGTCCAGTGCCGTGAACTTGTCCTGCGCTTGGGAGCCATCACGGGTCAGGTGGTCATACAGCGACTTTGCGTCCACTATGGAGAGCGCCCACCGCAGTTCATCATCACTGTCGGCGCGTTGCAACACCAGCTCGGCCTTGCGCTTCACACTCTCCTTGAACTCCACTAGGTCGAAGTTCTCCTGCAGGAGCTCGTAGTAGATGGCCTTAGCCCACATGAGGTCGCCGAGGCCCTTCAGCAACGACTGAGTCTCCGCCGCCAAAGTGGAATTGATCTTTCGCCTCAGCTTGCCGCTCTTCCACCACACTAAGCTGCAACTCGCCACACAGCCATCCAGCAGGTCCTGGTCGAACGCCAGGATCACGACCGCCCCCTGGGAAGATCCATCAGGGTGGTTAACGTAGCTCGCATCCGTGGCCGTACCCCAACATAGCCTCTCTGGGGCTATCGGGTGGTAGGTCAACTCCAGCTTCGCATTCGCCTTGGCCTCTTGCACCGCCTTGTTCAGCAAGGTGAGGTCCTTCACCTGGAGCTTGCTCAGCTTGGAAGCCATGATGCTTGCCGTCGCCGCTAAGTCTGGCCGCCCTTCTTTCGCGGCCCAAGCAATGGACCCGATCAGCCCTCGAGCGGCTGATTTCTCCACCTCGTTGGCTGCTTCTTCTGGTCGGCTGCGCCGCCCCACTGCGATTGTCATCGGCGACAACCTTTCCAGGATGAACTTCTCCATGCTCACGGTGATCTTGCCGTCGGGGTACTGCTGCAGGAACCGGCCGTTGAACATCGTGCCCTCGCTGAGGTCCTTGAACTTGCCGAAGTGGAACCTCTCTCGAAGACGAGCTAGGCGCATGGCATGTTCCTGGCCGCCAAAACATAAGAGGTCGTCGACCTCTATATTGATTAGCCCTTCCAGCGAGCCGCCACAGAACAGCTTGTACACAGTTGGGTCCAAACGTGACTGGCGGTATCCCAGGTCCTTGGTGATAAAGCCGGTAAGCGTCTTGCGCCAGTGGGCTGGCCCACCGATCAAGCCGTAAACCCCGGCCACGATCTCCACCAGTTGGCCTGGCAACATGTTCGGCAGACCGCCCCGCGGCTGACGGAAGTAGAGCTTGCCCTGCACCCTGAGCAATGGATTCGACTGGGTGAAGGCTGCCTTGAGATCGCCACATGTGCCCTTCAGCTTGTGGCTCGCCGCCAGCTGCAAGATCACCTGCAGGTTCTGTGTGTTCACCGTGGGTGCGTAGGCCTCCAGCTCGCCACTGTCGGGGTCTTGGTCCCCTCGCACACAAAACCGACTCTTTAGGGAAGGCGCTTCGCCCACAACCTCCGATGGCTTGCGTCGCCTAACGAAGCGCGAGTCGATGATCCTGTCGAGCTTCCCCTCGGCTGCGAGCTGGACGCGCACTTTCTCTGACTCCTCGGGACTGAGTACCCGAACTGCATTTGAGGCCAATATCTTGTTCCATTCGGCAGCGTCCTCTTCTTGCCACAGCGGCCACTCTTCTTGGCTTATGTCCTTCTCCTTGACCTCGTCGGAAGCCGCCTTCTTCACCAAGTAGTTTTCCTTGGCGATGGTCTCGAACGTGTAGTAGACGCCGCTGTCTTGGCTCTGCTCGGGCATCGTCTCCTTGATCTCCTTCGCGGCCTTCCTGGTGAGGTAGAACTCGGTGTAGCCCTTCCATTTCCGGGTAGCCCGGTGCTCCCGCTTTGGCGCTAAAGACTTCCAGTCGTCCTCTGCTTCCACCTGGTCGCCGTCCTTGTGCCGATGCACGGTCCTCCTCTCCGAAGTCAGGGCCGCAACTGGCACTGGCATGCGGCTGGCCTCCCATGGGCTAAAGAGATGGCTTCTCCACTTCACATGGTGTCGCCGCACAATGCCCCGGTCAACCAGGAGCTCCCACCGATCTCGCTGAGCCGGCGGGTTGCCGATCTTGGCGGGCTCTTCCAGCACAGGCTCCTCCTCGAAGAAGTCGTCGGCTGGCCTTTGGTAAGGATGCGCTGCTTCCTCGCCACGCTGGTTCTCCCGAATGGCGCGGTAGCCTTCGCCCTCTCGGCCCATCACGGCCCGTTGCGCCATTGGGACCGCTCCGTCCAGGCGCTGGTTGCGTTCCACCGCCTCGACTCCTGCCTGAACTCGCTCTTCTCGGGACAATGGGTGGCTGGCTCTGTGCTCCACCTCCGGCTCCTCGCTCGAAATCGCTGATTGTTGCCGCTCTTGTGCCGCCACGGGCTCTTGAGGAAAAGGCACTTCAGGAACAGGAGGTTCTGGCACAGGCGGCTCCTCGGGAATGTCGTCCTCGGGAACCGGCGGAAGAGGTACTGGAACCGGCGGCTCCGGGTCCTCGATCCGAACCCGATTCCACAACATCCGGCGCAACCTCGGTCACTGGGGGTGCCGGCTCATCGGTCAGATCGGTGATCACCGACGCTTCCCGGCCCACTCTAGTGAACCTTGCTTTCAGGTCCTGGAAGGTGTCGTGGACTGCCTCGATTCCCCGCATCTCTTCTGAAGTCCCGGCTCGGAGATGCTCCGTGCAAACCTGTACGCCGGCCCTTCATGTTGATGTAGCAATTGGGGCCCTCCTCATGAGAACCACGGCTGGGCCCACCCAGCCCGACTTGCGCTGCCCTTGGGTCCGCCAGCTCCTCCACAGAAACACCACATCTCCTGGTGAAAACCGACGTTGGGTGCGGGCCCTGGCTCGAAGGGCTCGCTTGGCCGCCTCCGAAGTGTTCACATCCACGAAGGCTCGCTGTGCCGCCCTCCTGGCCGTCATGGTCTTTTCCATCTCGTCGCCCATTTCCCCAAGCGTCGGGTCTATAAAGGTGTCGCTCAGGAGCTCGCCGGTAACACGGGCGTTCTGCCCCAGCATTCGCTGGGCCGGGGAAAACCCTGAGCGGTCGCTCAGGCGGTTCTTGGCTGCTTCCACTTCCCTCACCAACAGCTTTAGCTCCTCGGAGCTGGCCGGCGGGTTCATGTGCCGAGCCTTCTCCAACATCATCTTGAAGAGGCCGCCGTGACGTTCTGCTCGGCCGTTTTGGTGGGGACTCCTGGCACCAATGGTGTGCACGATGGTCCCGGACTGGAAACACCTTTCCCGGAACAGCCCTAAGAACTCGGTGCCCTGGTCTGCGAGCACAATCTGCGGCATTCCAAAGTGCCGGGTCCAAGCCCGGGTAAAACCGTGCCATGCTGAGTTGGGCTGCTTGTCCTTGACCTTTTCCACGGCCTGGTAGGAAGTGCCTAGGTCGATCACGTTCAGGTACCACTCCATACTCTGGCCATCCCACGAAGGAATATGCATAAGGTCCACTGCCACCACCACATTCGGCGCGTAGTTCTTCGGAACCAACGCCGGCCGGACTGCCTTTGGCATTGGGTTCGCCTGGCACGCCGGACAACGGAAGCTTTGCTTGGCCCATCGCCACAGGTAATCTGGAGCACCCCCAACACGAAGCACACGAGCAATGGTTGCGCTGTCCGGGTGTCCCAGGTTCTGGTGCAGCTTCTGCACTCTAGCCTTCTCCTCGGCCGTCGGCTCGTTCACCTGTAGCGGCCTCTGGGCTCGGGGCCCTGCTCCTGATGGTGGCGCCTCTGGCGCCTCGGCTGGCTGCTCCTCCTCGTCCTCCTCTATCGCCTCGATGTTGCTGAGGTCGATGGGATAGCTCTCGGGCCCGCCGTCCTGGTAGTTCCGGTCCAGGCCCTCGTCACCGCGTAGTTCGCCACCTCGGTTGGCCATGCGGTAGCGGTGGCAGTCGCTCACATTGGTGACCAGCCGCCGCTGCGGAAGAGCAGGTGCGCCGAAGAAGATGCAAGTACATCCTGCCGCAGAGCCGTCCATGCCGGGGTCCTCGCAAAGTTCTTCTTGGCTTCTAGGCAGAACACTCTGCCCTCTCGCCACTGTGCTCTGGCATGGCGGCATGCTTCATTGACGTTTCCCGGGTGCTCGTCCAAAATGGCTCTGAGCACCTTTGGTCGCCGAGCCTCCCACAGAGCCCAACGATCTGCTGCGCTTTGGTCAAAATTGGCCGTCCACACTTGCATTTGGTCGGCCTCCTTCGGTGAAACCAGTGCGTGGATCCCCTGCTGCAAGAGCTGGTGTTGCTCTTCCCCCGCGGCGTCATTCTCGGCCGTCTCGGTCTCCTCGTGCAGCAAGAGCAGCGGGATCTCCTTTAGCACCGCGTAAGCTTTTCCCGGCGCTTTGCCGGCATCCCTTTGCATATCCCAGCGGTCCCTCCGTTCCAAGTTGCCGTCCACCTCGACCGCGACATAGTCCTCCAGGCCCGCGCTCGGGCCCCGCAGCCACTGCTTGATGATCTTCGGAGTCGCCTGCTTCAGCACCTTGGTGCCGTCATGGCTGCGCCGGTCCTCGGGTGGCTCTTTCACTGGCGCCGCTGAGTCACTGCCACGGACGCCCGCTGCTGGAGAACACTCTGGTGATATGCATTCAGCTGCGCCGCCGCCTCCTTCAGCGCCTGCACCGCTTGGTGCCACTCCGCCCGGGTCTCCCGCGTCGGAAACGAGTTGCTCTTGGCCCGGGTCTCCAACTCGAGCTGCTTGCGCTGGCGGTAGCGCGCCAACACCTCCATGGTCTGCGCCTTGCCCTCGAAGCTCATCTCTGTCATGGTCAGCTCCAGGGCGTGGTTGGCATCCTCCGCGATCTCGACCTCGGCCGCCAGCTCCCCGTGCATAAGGTCCATCTGGGCCTCCATCTGCTCGAGCCGGTAGCGCTGGTCCGCAATGGTCTGCAGCAACTGGCCCTCGCGCTCCGGGTCGATATCCAGCTCCATGGGGCCGGCCGTCCGCTTGCCATTCCACGCCGTCGGGGCTGACGCCATCTGCTCGGCCCAGTGCCGCCTCGGCTCTCGGGGCCCACGCGTCCGGCTGAGCTTCGACCTTCTCCTTGGCATTCTTGGTCGGCTTGCTCTCCTCCAGGGCCCTGCCGGTCACTTGGGCCGCGCTGCGCGGGCTCAGCTTCCAGCGTGCGTGGCACGCCGCACAGTGCACCCAGTTGCAGTGCCCATTGCCTCCGCCCTTCAACTCCTGCGCAGGATGCGTGCAGTCCTCCATCGCCACCAGCGGGACACCCTTCACATTCGCCATCCTCTCGGGGCCCTTCTCCAGGTAGCGCTTGTAGAACTGCGCCTTCTGGGTCGCGGCCAGCACCACCGGTCCAGCCCCCGAACTCCCAGCCGGCGCCGCGATGGAGGGCGTCGTTGCCGAAGGCAGGGGCGTCGAGAGCCATTGGGACACCGTAGTGTGAAAATGCCCCCATTGCACCAAGCACCAGAGCTTGTCGCAGACGACCCGCCAATTGCGCGCCGCCTTGCTTCGCCATCCTGGGCTTCTTTTCGGGCATGTTCTCCGCTGAGCCGGCGCCGCGTCCGAAGAAGCAGCTTGCGCTCGGAGGGCCAGCGACTGAAACATGGGCTGGAGATCGGAAGGTTGCGGCTACCATCGAATTGAGGCTTCCACGGCTGCCCGAAGAGGTGTTCACCCGAAAGTCCGTCTCCTTGCGCTTCCCTAGACATGCTTCCGGAAACTGCCATCCACAACTGCCAAAGTCAACTATGCTCACTGCAGCGTGGCCCGACGGGAGAGTAGTCATAGGAGCTTCGGAGTTCACAAAGGTGAGGCGTAGAACATTGGAGGGAAGGTCGATCACCGAACCAAGGGCCCTAAGAAGACTGATCGGGATCAACAGCGGCACGTCATCCGACACCACCGTGGCCTCGAGTACCCCCGGCGTCCCACCAATCCCCAAAGGAATCTCACAGACGCCGATGGTGCGAGCCTGGCCCCCGATCCCTCGAGCACACGACTGTTTGTCAACCCAATGGATCTGGAGGTGATGGTTTCGAAGGGCCCCGCAAAGCCTAAGGAGGGCCGGCCGCCCTATCAGGCCCTCTTGGGCCGCCGTATCGACAAGCGCCTGGGACTCGTTGGTGACAATGCCGATAAAGGGTGCAACATCGGCCCGGCCTTTTTCCTGTGTCGCCCGCAACGCTTCTCCAAAGGTGAAGAAAGAAGCCCCCGAACTCGCGGCTGCCCCACTGTTCCAATAGAAGCTTGAAGCCTTCGAGGGGGAACCTGAAGAAGAGGAGCCCGGCGGCCTTTGGCCAGTAGAGCTTGGCTGCTCCGAGCGACCCTGCCGACACTCTTTGGACCAATGTCCCACTTGGCCGCACGTACGGCAGCGCGTCCTCAACTTGAGCTCTTCTATGTGAAGCCGGCGCTGCCCTGACCCTTTTCCGTGCTTGTCGAACTTGCCCTTGCCAGACGACTTGCCCTTCTGATCAGCCGGCCGTCCCTTCGGGAAGAAACCTCGGCCCTTGCGCTGGTCCTTCAGTTGTTGCCGCACCTGCTGATACGAAGCCAAGGCATCCATCACCTCGTCCTCGTCCAGCACCTGGTCCAGCTCTCCCTCCTGGATGTAGACAAACTGGTCGTCGTCTTCGTCGTCATCTTCCTCCTCTGGCTGCCCCGCGTCGTAGTAGACCTCGGCCGCTGGCTCCCCATCCAGGCTGCCATCTCCGGCCGGCTCGCCGAAGTAGATGCCCTTTCCGTCCGCCTTGACCCGCTCGAGCTTCCGAAGGTTCCGGGTCACGACTGCCACGTCAAAGTCGCCGGCCAGCCAGGTGAGCAACTTGCTGTCGTCCTCGGCTGTCAAGTTGCTCTGGCGGTACAACAGGTAGCCCTCGGCCTTCTTGGGCAGCGTCACGCCTTCTGCCTTGAGCGCCGTCTGGGCCTTCTGAAACCGGACAAGGTAGTCAGCCACCGTCTCCTTGGCAGACCTCGGTGGCCCAAAGAAGGCCGCCTCCATAGCCCTGGGAAGAGCCGTCTCAGTGTAAGGCTCGAAGGCCTCCTTCAGCTTGGCCACCACGTTGGTGTATCCGGTCTCGCCCTTGATGTCCTTGACTTCCATGGAGTCCACGGCCGCCTTCGCCGTGTGGGTAAGAACTTGCACCAACTTCAAGCCTTGCTTTTCTTTTGGGACGTCCGTGCAAGCTTGCCATAACTCCAGGTCTCTCAGGTACTGCTTGAAAGTTCCCTGCGGGTTGTTGCCCGAATATGCTGGCGGTGGGTCCTTATCGCGATAAACCCAGCCGGTTCCTCCTTCCGCCTCCTGAGTCATGCCTCACAACAGCTGTTCAGCACTGCCAGCGCGGCACCGAAGATCTTCAGGTCGCGAAGGTAATCGAGGAAGGTCCGGGGGTTCAGGAACCGCCAGCTCCGCGTGGTTCTCCTGGATCGCGTCGCACACAACCAGGCTCCGGTGCCAACTGACGAAGCTTCAGCACCCGGAGAGGCAAGCAAAGAACGCACATGCACTCACGACTTGTTTTGCTACAGCAGACAAAAGCTCAAAGGGGCCCCCTGCGGTCAGAGCCGATAGGGCCCACAGGTCAAGCTTCACACGCCAGCGGTAAGCTGATTCACACATGTTCTGCATACAGCTTGGGAATAGGAAGTCGAGTCATTCCACAGCATTGCATAGCTTTGCCAGGAACTGAAAAAGTACACCGTGGCTGAGGCGTCGTCAGGGCTCTCATGGCAAACAAGATTCTCTGATTTTGACTGCCGTTCATGCTTTGCCCGCCGATGCTTCCAAGACTGAGGGACCCAAATCCTGAACGGCTCTCTCTTGTTGGAGTGTGTGTGTTATGCTCCTGAATTCAAGTCTCCCAGGCACGGGATCTATCTGAAGCTGGCCAGGTGGCGAAGCACAACTCACGAGAAAGCATCTGGGTAATCATCGACGGCCGTGTTTACGACCTGACCAGGTCCGGCAGCAGATAAGTACTGTACCATGAATACGAGATTTTTATCCGATTGAAGACTCCTACTCCTGGTGGTCAGGTACATCGACAAGCATCCTGGTGGGCATCTGATGATCGAGAACATGGCAGGGAAAGACTGCTGGGATCCCGGGAGATTGCTTGACGCTTGGGGTAATTGGTGTTTTGGGCTTACAGGGTTTTGGGCTTTGAGTTCTCAGAACGCATGGGGTCCTCTACCGTCCACCAGGACAGAAAACACATGGGTGGTTGTCAAAATTGTGGTCCCTGTTTGGGTACCCTAAATGATAGGTGCCGTATTATAATAGGTCACCCAAAAAGGGACCATAATTTTGACAACCAATTGCATAGCAGGTGGATCTTGCAAAGGCCGTCGTCGTTGCTCGGTTTCGTGATTACTCGGCATGTTCATGTCATTGCTGCCTGCCTTCCGTGGCATGGTCGCTATAGTTGCAGGCGTTCACGGCATTGTTAGTGTCCTCTTACTACTTTCCGTGTCGCCCTCTGCTAAGGCACAGATGCCTTTGCAAACTACCATACGGCGAGGGTGTACAAGCACATGCTGCCGGGGCCTAGGCCCAAAGGACTTGAAGTCGCAGCCAGGTGCTTTTCAGGCACAGGAGCGATCTGGGTCTCCGATGATCGGAACCGTCCCCTATCAGTGTTCCCTTCCATGACCCCATGACCTTAGACCATAAGTGTAAAAGGCAGCTGATCGGGCCCTGGTTGCCACCCCATGGTAGTAGGCACCTCGAGCCTTTTCCGAGGCCGCCAATGCTGATTGGTGAGGCAGGATCTTTGGATTTCGGGGGTTCTTTGGCATCAGTTCTTCTCCTTGGCTATCTTCCAAGAGCCGAAGGCCACAGACGTGGAGGTGCCTCCGCACGTCCAGGACCTTGCCGGGGTTTGGATTTGTCTTGTAAGCCTGGCGCTAAGGATGGCAGAAGGCGAATCATGTCATCGTTTCTCAGAATACTTGTGGGCCGGGGGGGAGTGGGGCGGGGCAGGGAGGGGGGGGGGGGTTGAGGGCGAGGGTGCATGGCACAGTGAACGTTTGGTTACACTAATCGCAACCTTGTTGTTCATTGTTGTGATCCGGGTTGACAATTCGTGCGTGAATTTAGCATGAGTAGTGAGCCAGATCGGGCTACAAACGTCAACAATTTTTAAGCTACACTGGCTGCTTTTGCTACACTGCTTATGCAGGTGTTGTTGCGGTGTTGCACGGAGGGGACTGTTGAGAGCTTCCGGCCTTATCGTGCGATGCTGCATGTTGTTGCATCAGTTGCTGCTTCGATATGTTGGTGCAAGTGTTGCGGTTATCAGTATAATTGTAGCTTTCGCCTGCATGGTCTTATATCCGTTCATATGAAGTGTACATGAACATTTTCGCGAGTACTCTGCAAAAACCCCGGAGGGAACCCAACCACTAAATCCCAACACCCCAGACCCCGACCGGCCTTCGTGGCCCTGAGCATTGGACCCCTATGAAATGCGCCAAGATGTATTCGAGACTGGTCTAGACTGTAGGAACTGTAGCATACTTGTCTATCTCAGACTGTACCAGAAAAACGACACTAAACTACCACACTGTATTCTACCAGTATACTACACTACATCACGCTATGCTTTTCTGGACTTGCAGGACTTCCGGGCCATTCGCCAAGAGCTGCTCCGTCGTGGCCTCTTCGAGACGGCACGCACCCCACCGCAGCCGTCGGGGGATTGTGGGTCTCAGGTGTTTGGGTGTTTGGGGGTTTAGGGGTTGCGGGTTTAGGGTTTAGGGATTTGCAGTTTAGGGTTCAGGGTTGTAGGGTTGTAGTGTTGTAGTTGTAGCGTTGTGGGGTTTTGGAGCTTTGGAGTGGAGTCTCTGTAGCTGCTTTCCAAGCACACATATTCTGAGTGACGGAGAGGTGCGTATGTGCGTGGGAATGGCTCGCACAGGACATGCGCTTCTATGCCAAGATGGCTGCGTGGCCTCTTCCTTGAACATCAGCGTTTCTGTAAGGACATCAGTGTTTTCCTGATTCCTTCGGCACTTGTGCTGCTTCTGCCTGACAAGACCGAGGCTTGTGTCCCTTTTCCTTCTGTCGCTGTACCTTTCCCTAGGCTGGCTAGATTTTCCAGCCTCAAAGAGCCCTTTGCAGGGCTTCTACCCGGTACCCAACTCCACCATCTTCCGAAAGGCTGCGCTGCTACGACGGCACACATGGTGGGTGCAGCGGCCGGGGACCTAGAATCTGATCTTCGCGGTGCAGTTGGCGCTTTTTCAAGGCTGGTATCTTGTGCTTGAAAACATGTATGCTTTCTCGGCCGTTGTCTCTGCTTGCAAGTTCATACTGGGCCTCTCGAGGTTATGGGCCTGTTCTGGCAGCAACTGGCTGGAATAGGCCACGACATGGGCCACAGCGGTATCACTCACAACTTCCACTTGGAACCTTGGCATCAGCAGATAGGTCCGCGATCTGCTTGACAGCGTGAGGGCCGAGCCGAAAGTGAGCCGAAGAAGCAAAGCGAACAGTTAAGCTCGGCTTTTTAGTATTGGTAACCCCAAACCGGACGCTTCTCTTTCCGATTCCAAAATGTCTTCCAATTGGCCATTCAGGACCACTCAGTTTGCTCCACGCTCGTGTGCTTCATGGGCATCTCCGTGTGCTGGTGGAAGCGGAACCACAACACACACCACATAGTCTGCAATTCCATCGAGTACCTCGGAGGATGTCTCATGTGCTCTGGTTGTCCTGCTTGTCAAACCTGACGTGAATCTCAGGCACGATCCTGACATTCAGCACATGCCGGCGTTGGCTGTTACGCCAGAGATCTTCAAGAAGCCGTTTCTCTTCTTTCACAAATAGTGTCCTTTGCAGATGGGCGATGCTCCAGAGTGTTGTCCCTTTTTCCCATCATAGATCTTGGAATGGGTAATGTCCAAAAAGGGCGCCGAATGCCGAACCTGGATAAGTCCGGTGTTCACAGGCCGAATGTCATGTTGCCGATATCGTGCCGGGTGCTAGTACGTTGACAGTACGTTAATCGCAAAACCTAATTATGATGGCTATGCGGTTGAAGAAATCCGTGGCTCAAGTGTGCTGCTATTCAAGACTAGCTAGAGATAGATGTAAAGAACTCAGGCGTCAGATTATCCATGCAGTCTATGCATTGGATATTGGGATACTCTTGTTCTCATGCCGAAGTGCTGCATGAGGTTCTGGAGCACGTACTACAACGAGCTCAAAGCCATGGACCGCATCACCAAGTTCATGGTCAGCTACGAGCATCTCTTTTTCTACCCGAGGCTCTGCTTGAATTTATGTGCTACAGCCTCCTAGCAGTCCTAGCAAAGTTAGTGAGTCGATTCGGCTCACGATCGTTGCTAAGACCAAGATTGGAGAGCATGGATGAAATTCCACAGTTAGCGAAGGCCTTCAAGCTCCAGGCTTGCAAGCTCCAGCCAAGACATCTAATAAGACCTCTCGGGAAATCCTTTGTTTGAACATGCGTGAATATCCCACTTGCAAGGATCATGATGGTCGCAAGATTCAACCTATATGCACAGTCTCTCATCCAGCTCTTCGCGAAGGATGCCGTCTTGGGTTTGCCGGTTGGCCAAACTCTCCCAAGTCAGTTAAGAAGTGAATCGACCTAAGGGTCTATGCCACATGAAGCGGCTCTTCTGCTGTTTTCAGGAGCCCTTGCACTATAGCAACCTGGATGCCTTAGTCTGTCATGGACATGACTTCCTCATCTTGTATCTTCTTTGTCCTGTATTGTTGCGTGCCGTAATGTTTCTGTGTCCTTGAGCAGGGCGCATTGGGTTGGGTTGTGACGGGGCAGTGACGCCGTCTTGTCCAGAATGTTCACGCTGAAATGTGGGCCCCCATGGACGGCGAGGACTTGTCATGTTCTTGTTTGCTGGAGCCAGCCCTGGCAATCGCATCAAACAAAAGTCGAGGCACGGCCGCACGAGGCACGAATTCTGAACCTAGTGGATGCTGCACTGCGCAGCCAGAACTGTCAGAAGAGTATTGAGAGCAGCATTGACTGCAAGGAAGACATGCGAAGAGGCCGTCAACGGAAAATCAGACACTGCAGGCTGGCGAATCTCACGGGACGGCAAGAGCCAGCTGTGCTGTACTGCTGGCCGAGTTTCGCGAAACAGAAAAGTTTGAAGCAAGCTCTTCAAAGATCCATGGTATCGCCAATCATTTCCTCATCCGACCGTTGCTCTTCACGAGTTGGGAAAGCCATCACCTTGCGTTCCACGGGGTCAATGCTCTGCATGTTCTACATTCCTACATGCCCGGGTCCTTACCAGTTTTTTTGGGTATCGACTTTTCAGTCGGAAGTTGGAAAGTTTCATAGTTGTGAGCAGCATTGTCCTGCCGAGGAAAGACGGAGCTGTGCGCCTTTGCCATCTACTTCACCTGGATAGGAAGCCTCGTGCTGTCCTTGCCGACCTGGTCCGAGACGTGCCTGGCCAATGTTTAGGAACTCAGGAATTTGCGATGCGTGTTTCGATTTCGGACTCGAAGCCCTAAATCCAACACTCGAGGACGAAGTCCTAAGCCGAAGTTGCGTCATGGCCAGTCTATAATCCTCAGACCTCAAGCTCGTTCCGGAGCGTAGGGTTCTGCTTGCGGGGCTCCGGCTCCAGGGTTCACGATCTCCTAACAGTGGCAGTTTGGTGACCATGATGCTTCTGACGATGATGATCATCATGGTCATCTTCGCGATCGTCCTCGTTAGAGAGGTGACAGTGATGACGAGAACTGTAGCCACTGCTGCCGTCGTAGGGTAAGACACCGTCAACCGGCAACTCCCTCATTCAGTTGCGGCGACGATGACGACGGTGACAACGATGGCCATAACAATGACGCAGTCGAGGACGACGACGACGCGCACAACGAGGACGACGAGGACGATGATGATTATGATGTTAACAATTCATAGACATCTCTTAAGTTTCAGATTATTCGTAGCATGTTCGCTCTCGGAAATTTGAGAGTCGCAGCCTCAGGCAGCATTTAGGCTGATTAGACATGATTAGACCCAAAGTCCAGACGACTCTCAAGCCCAAGCCCAAGCTAAGGCTGGGATGGCTCCTTGTGAGCCATGCCATGTCCGGCTTGCTGCACGTCACTGCCTCAGTCGTCTTACTCGGCAGCGGATGATCCGAGCCTGAATGACTAAGGGTCTACTCAGCGTATGCATTCCTTCGGAAGTGTCCATTGAGGTTCAGATTTGCTGCTCGCACTTCTCAATGGAAACGTACCACGGCCATGCAGGATCCTCAGCACCACAGGACTCCTTCAATTCTGCGTGGACTTTGCTGTATCCGGTGCGGCCTGCTGCTGTCGTGCGCGTTGTCAAGACGACCTGCGAGCCTAGACTGCAGAGGCCTATAATGATGCAGACGATGAGTGGTACATTACACAGCTTAAGACCACCATGAACTTTGACACCCCACCAGCGCCACTGTGCGGCATTGGGGGTAATCTTGAGAGCTTCTCTCGCTAGCATGATTTTCCGTACCGATGCTGGTCTCTTGGAGGCTGGACTGGGTGCACATCGGCCTCCAGTTTCAGATTGAGCATCATCTTTTTCCCCGTCTTCCTCGTCACAACCTCCGCTCCTTGGATTCAACTCAAGTTTGAGTCGTGCATGGCTCAGTATCGTGAGGGATTTCTGCCGCCGCCTCCGCCGCTGCTGCTGCTGCTGCTGCGACCGACCTACTACCTGCGACCGTTGACCGGTGATCTGCGACGACGACAACGACGACCACTGATACAGCTACCATGAGCCCACAGACAGTGCATCTTCTGTTTGAAGTCTTTCTCAGACCCGACTTCAAACGCAGCGGAGGCGAAGCCCGGACGCTTGTGAAGGAGGTGTGCAAGAAGCACAACATCCGCTACCACGAGCCAGGTTTCTTCCAGGCCGTCGCAACCATGGTGTGGAGTCAGAGATAGTCGCAATCTAGTGTGACCCGCCGCAACGAGATGGTATCCAAGGAACAATAATAAAGTAGTCCTGGATAGTTCTAAGGTGGCAAGATAGTCAAGTTATGCATAGTCCTGGAACTGCCAAGCAGGCAAACCTGGAGACTCTGCAGTGCCTCTGGCGCACGGCGAAGGCTTGCCAGATCGGTTCCCTGCCTCTCCGCGACTGAGAGCTGACATCTTGCGAGAACCTGCGAGGCCGCGCGCAGCGCGAAGCGCGGGGACAGCGGCTTCTACGAGAGCTGCCTGTGGGACGGCCTGACCTTGAACGGCTGATGCAGGGTTGCTGAGGAGGCACCTACACGGAAGTCACGGGAGTGCACGGAAGAGAGGAGCGGGGAGGGATGCTGGACCTTCAAACCTTGCCCCGCTGCAGGCTGCATGTCCGCTGCGCGAGGGTGCAGAGCTTTTGCCATGCGGCGGGATCCGAAGGACTCCTTGAGTTCTGAGCCCCTGCTGTCCCGGGTCATACAGAAGATGTGCGTCTATGCAACCACACAGCGCAAGGACCGAAGCTGCCACAGACCAGCACACGTTCCGACGCCCGCCTCATGAGAGCAAGTCAGGGAAAAAGGAGCATTGTGATTCCGTCGACTTCCCACAGGTTCTTTGCCGGGTGTAGCCCTTGAGCCTGAGCCCGAAGTAGTTCAAACCTAAGTTCAGGATTGAATTGCAATTGGTCCGTATTTAGGCTCCCGGACTTTATCAGTCTCTTTGTGGTTCGCCGAATTCCTACGCTCGCCAGGGTTCGGTGGTGGAGATAGTGTTGCGTGCGCCAGGCCGTCGAGAGTGTGGCCGAGCTTTTCTTCTCGTTGACTAGCATCTTACAGAGCGGACCGCTCGCCGAGCCTCGTTTTGACGGTTGATCACCTGCATGATCAGGCTCAGCTGAGAACTGGATGAAGCTCATGTAGACAAACAGAAGCGACTGTGGAATGGCATTGGCTCCCATAGCTGCTGCAACTCGAGAAAGGTAACTCACACCCTCGTTGATCACCCAAAAAGCTTGCACATAGCCAGCTAAAGCTTGCACATAGCCAGCAAAAGCAGCTAACATCTATGTCTAGCGCACAGGACAGATAGACATCGCTTTACAATCAGCACGAGTCTAGGTCCAGGTTGTGCAAGCCAGACAGACCTCCTCATAACGCTCCGACTGAGCCTTGCGAAGTGGGAAGCAGCCGTGTCCATTGTTTTGGGAGCCGACCGGTGCTGTGGCGGGCTGTGCCTGGCGCCCGTCTCCTTGGGCCTTGTAGCAGCAGCAAGAGACAGTAGACAAGTACTGGTGGATAGTGATGGTGGTGGTGCTGCTTGTCAAGTTTGAGATGTATGCGCAGAATGAGCAGCCGATGAGACTGAGTCAAGGTAGCTTTCTCCAACTCCGACGGCTGAACATCGCGAACCTTGAAACATCCCCCGCAACGCCCAAAGCCGGAACGGCAGACACCGAAGCTCCAACAAACCTTTCAGCAGCTCACGGGTGCCGTCATCCAGAACATGCCCAAACACTTCCTGTGCCTAAGCAGCTGTAAGCCCTGTAAGCCCTTCTCCGTATCTGGGGCTTGTGATGGCAAGGCTCGTCCGCCCCGCCAGGCAGCAATGTACGTGCGCAGCTCGTTTTTGGAGTTTTGTTGGGGTCAAGTGTTTGGGAGACGACTGCAACAGCTAACTTCGACCTATTGCGGCTCACGCATAGGGGTGCTCACCCCAGGAAATCCCGAGGTGTGAAGCCCGGTTGCTGAGATCGTTGGCCGCAATTTTTTTAACAGGATCCTGGCAAGACATAAACCTCACCCAGTCTCCGCCGCAGAACGTCCCGAACTTCAGGATGGGAATCTTCTGTATTGTGCTTTCAGACACCCGAGAGCACAAATCCTAAAATGCCAAACCAAAAGCCTTACATGATGGCAATGGAGCCGTATCTTCCGGAGCTGGTGCCATTGCTGCTGCCGCCCCCGGAGCCGAGCGCGCAGCCCCTTCATTGCCCTCACGGCTTCTGGAACGCTCCGGGCTCGAAAGGCAAAGTGCGATTTCAAGATTTTATGATCAGTATTCTTGTTGTTGAAGTGGTCTTGTGGACGGCTTCGTGATTGTGTTATTGAGTGTCCATGCCTCAGCTGTGTTTTATGTCATCATTCGTGTTATTCCAAGTGCTTGTGTTAGTATTTCGCTAGTCCGCAGTGCTACCGTAGTTTCTGTTATGTAAGCTTTTCTCGTGTTGCGTTCCATTACAAACTTATGGCTTACTGCTAGGCCCAGCTTTTGCTGTTGTCCCGTTGCAAGTACTACCATACACATACGGTGTGGTGATGCTTTATTGTGTTGTACAGATCTTGATAGATTAAAGATACATCTGAATCTGTTTATCACATCACATGTTTGTGCACTGCTGTCGTGATTGCAATTCTGATCATCGCCATTCTTGGTGTTAGAGTTCTTGTCACCAGTCGTGGCAAATACTATAATCATTACCATAACCGCAGTCAATATGATTATGGCAGTTGTGAACCCACTTCCACTTCCACTTCCACTTCCACTTCCACTTCCACTTCCACTTCCACTACCACTACCACTACCACTACCACGACCACCACCACTACCACTACCACTACCACTACCACTACCACTGCGACTGCGACTGCGACTACGACTACGACGACGACGACGACGACGACGACGACGACGACGACGACGACGACGACGACGACGACGACTACTACTACTACTACTACTACTACTACTACTACTACTAGTTGCATTACGACATGCCGTGAGCAATGCGATGGTGGAGAAGAAGATGATGCGCCTCGTTACGACGAAAACCACGGTCGCAACTGAGCTTGGAGGGCAGATCTATGATTCTGTCTAAGTCTAGCTGTAGCATACACTTTGCCAGCCAGTGTCCTGCTGCCAACCTTGTTCGAGCTTCTTGCAGTCAGAAGCTGATTCACACGCCTCCCTGCACCGTGAAGGGCTGTTGAGCTTCCAACCCCAAGACCCGAATGGCCCGCTAAGTAAGGTTGAAAACAGTGCTGTGCAATCCCATTTTCACGACCAGAATCCTACTCAGCGCCTCAAAGGGCGCAACCAAGCACATTCCAGGGCCCCCAAGCGCGAACTCACCCCTCAGATCCCAAACTCAGGGCTCGAGGCTTCAGGTGGAGTTCAGGCCACGATTCAGGTCTTAGGCCTTGCTCGTCGCCCGACGCAGGCGATGGGGCCCTTGCGCCCTGGCCAGGATCGGAGCTCTTCTGGCGCCAGATCTTGTCCTCGGTCCTTGGAAGTGGCCCAGCCAAAGACCGAGTAACAACTCAGATCAGAGCGTGTGGCGTTTGGGGGTCGTGCAAAGAGCAAGACCTGTTTGACTAGCGACTCGTGTCCGAACTCCCGAACTAGACATGCTGCGCCCAGTTGTAGACACCAGGCTCTTGCACACACGTGACCTAGCACCATTCGCTACAGCGATGGTGGTGGTGGTGGTTATCATAAGTTCTCACTGGCCTCTTCCTCCATGCCAGCAGCCGCTTGGGTCTTAATCATACCTGCAGAGAAGGGGGTGTTCTCGGCTGATTGCTTAGTGCGACAGTCAAGCGCCGTCCTGGTCGCTCAACGCCTCCTCAACGCTAAACTCCAATCTCCAAGCAATGCCAAAGAAAGTCTCTTTCCAGTGTCGCCTTCCTTGCGTGATCCAGCCGAGGCATGGATTTCGCCCGTCAGGGTCACACCAACGACACATGGCTTGCAAAGTCGGTGCGCGCAGTCCTGCCATCTCGTTATGCTCCGTGCTGCTCTTGTAACTTGTAACTCTGCAGGGCCACCGGCCTCCACTTTAAGCCCTGAGTGTCTTGGTGATGTAACCGTTTCAATTTGTTTCAATAGTCTTGTATATCTGCATCGGTGCATACATGGCTAGGGCGGCTAGGTACATGGTTACATGGTACATGAAGTACATCGTTACGGTATAGTTGAAGAGCAGATACACTGATTCATGGACATAGGACATGCATGCATACGCATGTGCGTGTATGCAGGTGCAGGCATGTGCTTGTTTATGCAGAAGAGCGGGTTGCTGTAGGCGTACTTCCTCAAGGTCGTTTTCCGCACATGCAGACATTCCTACGTTCCTTTTTTTTCTATGCAAAAAAATACTCACGCATATGGCTCTGGAAGAGCCCGCCGAGCCGAGAGCCCAAAAGAAGAGGGGAGAGCCGAGGCTGCTCGGGGGCTCCTGGCTGATGCGCTTCTCGCCTCGACGAGCAGCCTGGATCCTGAGCCGCGGCTGGGCTTTACCTGCTCCCTAGGCGGCCGGGCTCTCACATGGAAAAGGGGGGGGGGGAAACTAAGATGGCGTATGGGGTCACGTGCGGCCATAGCACTATAGCATGCCGGGGAAGCGTACTGTAGCCGTTTGCATATGATGAACGGTTGAATCCGAATCTGTCTTGATATCTTCTGTTAAAGCCGTGTTGTCCTGGTGAAGTAATCATATGTGTAGGGGGCAATCATCTTGACGGAAAGCTAACTCTCTCTCTCTCTCTCTCTCACACACGCATTTGTTGCTTTTCCACCCCTGTGCTTGTGTTACGTCCGATCTCCCGCAGTGAGATAGCCTCAAAGCTCAGCTAAACTGCAGTTTGCAATTCGGAGAAACACGGGGACAGTTTGACACATTTATCTGGAAGAGGTTCCTCTAGCTATACTCAACACTTGTTGAATCTTGCTTCTGCGACTGCGACAGCATGGGACTGCTTCGGTGGTACGTGCTCTTCTTGGCGCTCTTCGAGTTCCCTCCACTGTACAAGCTCCTCGTCGAGAAAGTTCCGCTGCACGAGGTGACGGATGGAATCGCCGCAGACAGCAGCAATGGGGATTTCACCATTGTCTATGCCGGCTTCTTGCTGATGCTCGTCACTGTTCGCCTCGTGGCTTTCTTCGCAGGTTCCAAGCCACCGGGCGTTGTGAGGCAGATGCTCGTTGCCGTGCATGCAGCAGAGATTTGTGTGATTGCACCGTTATACCTGCGCAATGTGCAGCCGCGCCGCAAGATGATGGGCATGCAGAAGATGCTCGAGACTGACGTCGTTATGACTTTTGTCGTGCTGAACCCGGGGATTTTCGCGCTGTTCTACCCAGTGGAGAACGGCACCGCGGCCAAGGACAAGACCTCGTAAACGAGGCTCCGGCCCCAGGTGCCCGATGCACCGCATGATGGGCAGTGGGTAGTGAATAGTGGACTTCCGTCCGGCACTTCTGTGGACATGAGTCACGTCCGTGCC